TGCATTATTCAAAACACAATTTCTTCCTTCTCTCTCAAGACTGAGATACAAATTTTTGTTTGGGGGTGAGCCCTGATAAATAAGTGTAACAACAGCCATATTTTACAAAATAAGAGTATTTTACTTATGCAAATTAACTATCTCACTTCTTGAAAGGAAGGCACACGTGGGGTTGGGTTGGGTTGATTACTGTTATACATTGTCTGTGTAAAATCTTCAGGAATTTGCAGAAAATATTTAAAAAGTCAAACTTTGTTTCGTTCAATTTATCAACAGCCAAGGGTGCAGGCTTTTTAAACCTGGATTTACTGAATGAAATCCAGCGCCATTTGTTCTAATTTCTGAAAAGAAAGTCGAAATAACGCTACCAGATAACCAAATAATGAAGTATACAAGAAGAAATGATTGGTAAAGGAGTTTTTTTACAAATTACACTGCATTATTTTGAATTGACTTTGATGCGTTACATTCATTTTTTTACAAGAAACTGGCTATAAGAAACAAGTAATGGACAGTCAGAAAAAATTAAGAAACTTCAGTACTCGAAGCAAAAAAATTAAGAAACTATTAAATCGTGATAAAACTGAGAACAACGAAATTTTATAAAACCCAAGAACACGATTGCCCTGATGGCCTAGAAATTAAGGCACAAGGGATAAAAGTATACTTCCCACGTCTAAATACAGCTCCAAAACGGAAGCGAATCTCTTGACGTGAAAAAAGGTCACGAACATTTCATAACATCATTCATGACATCAAGATTAAGAAACTCTTAAGAGGCAGCGAGTATTGAAATTTCCAGAACATTAAGAAACTGGAGTACTCAACATCGACCTTTGTTTGTGAAGTAAAAAGGGAATATGGTGTGCCATCTGTTTTGTTTGACGCACAAGTCAATTATTTTTTAAAGGATGCCCAACATTTTCTAATACACGTACCTTGGGTACCAGAGCCTCAAGAAACTGGGGATAAAATATTGTAGACCGCTGCGATGGTAACGCAAATAGATATATCTGTTTCTTGCTTCGAATATTTCTAAATAATAAAGGCTCTGGCACCCAGGGTATAGAGAACAAAAAACAGCACCCTGATCTTCGGTAGAATAAATTCACTTCCTGCTGTGCTATAGTGGCTATACTGTGTTTCAGGAAGGAAATCGAAAACGAGACGAAGACAACAGGCTAGTAGTTGACAGTGATATTTGACTGGTAAAACGGACAAACTTCAGAAAGAATGTCTAAAAGGAGATGATGCAGGTTTCCCAAACTGATTGAATTACCGGGCGTAGTTTGGTAGTGAAGTCAAGACCTCAGTCTGTTATTGCTCATGACAAAAGCAAGTGACTTGTGTTAATGAGACACATTATCTCCATCGTCACTTTTGTGAAAACGGCCTATAAGACAGGCCACATTAGTTTCAAACACGCCTACTGAAAATTCAAAATATAGCGCAGGCAAGTAGCTCTGTCTTTTCGTCGCACATCGTGTGTGGTGATGTAGCTGATGAAATTGAAGAGACAAAAGTCAATGGCATAGGCTATTGCTCAGAACAACAAGGTTTCCACGACGTCCTCAGTTTCCACACAAAAAAGCCTGGGGAAAGTAGGATGGAATTTGCTGAGCTAATCAAGACAACTAGGGTTGATAATGTTATTTTAAGAAGGCAAAGTAGCAGCCTTGTCGAGGGGACATTGTGCCTTACAAGTCATCATTTGATATTTTCATCAAGGGTTTCGGAGAAAGATGAATTAATGGTAAATATGAATTGTAATGCTTCTACTACCATAAATATGAATTGTATAGTCATCAAAATCCAAGCAAAAACCCAAATGCAGAAACATTAACATGTAAATAAGTGAGATCTCAATATATTGCAAGTTTATAGTTATTTCAGTCTAAATAATTTTTCAGGATTTAGGGGGTCTCCTTGAGATTTTTTAAAGAATACTAATCTAATATTATTTTACTGATGACCATAGACGTACAGGGTGAGTTCAGATAGGGGGGCTGAAATTTTTTGCCCCAAAAATAACGGTGCCCAAATTTTTTAAGGAGCCTTTTAAAAACTTCACACAGTTTCATTAAAAAAGCAAATCTCTTACCTGACAGCAACCAAATATATCAATTATTTTACTGATTTTGTGAACATGATTTTCACCATATTCAATTACTGCCAAAAGCGCTCACCATTACGACCGCTTGATTTTTTCATCTCAGAATTTTTAAACATGTTCGAAATGTAGTTTTTCTTATACCTTCTTGTTTTTAGGGAAGGCTCTTGCCAGAACTTTGCTTGAAAAAATCAGCTGCCCAAATCTAGAGGGGCTGAAGCCCCCCAAGCCTCCCATCTTGTACGCCTTTGCTGATGGCACCTGTTAACTTTTATCTCTAGAAGGATAATTGTTAACTTACTTTTATCACTAACCCTTCACTTTCTGTTTGGTTCAATAACAACCCATTTCCATTTTGAATGTTTTTTAAACCTTAACTATTGGATTTTCACCTGCTTTAAATGAACCAACAAAGTTGAGACAATGTTCATCAAAATTTTTGCATGTTGATGTTTTAAAAATAAAGCAAAAAACATGATACTACTGCATAATACCCTTCTTAAAAATGAATTTACAATTTGTCCATGAATGAAGTTTTTTAAAATTGTTTGCATCTGTCTAAAAGTAGTGTCAAAAACTAGTGATCCAGCTATCTAATGCATTTCAATAGCTATTCTGACGTTTTTATTGTCAAGACAATCAGTCAGAAGTACTTTGGTTCTGTTAAATAGCAAGGTATTCATTTTAGCTCTTGTACATGGCAATCGAAGATGTTCAGAAGAAGATTGCAGGGTACAATGGAACTATAAATATCATTTGTAAAGACTTCACTTCTTTCAAACTGCGAATACCAGGTGCTGAGAATTGTCTCAATGTTGCTGCTTCCATTGAAGCACTATCCACTTTAGGTAAATGCAATACTTTATGATCTTCTTTGCTGCTATTTTCTTTGCCTATAGGTAACATCCTGGGTGCTATGGTTTTGCATATTGGCCATGCAAATTTCCTAGTTAATAACATTTACGTGTGCACTATTTCAGATGGGAAATCTCAAATTTTCAAAGCGAACTTATCTTTGCAAATAATTTAATTTTCAGTTTGGTATTTGAATGCTTCCACTTTGCATAATTGGCAATTTTTATTTTATAAATTGTTTTTTCAATTCCATATTTATTATTTGCTTTGTCAAGGTATCACCTCTCCCAATGTAGTGACTAGATAGTCAGGTCAAACGATTAGATATCAACAAGGCAATTGAAGTTAATTTTATATTATTTGAGCTTTGCAATAGTCTATGGGTGGAAGAAAAAAGATTTAAAGGACTTAAGTCTTTCTCTTGGAGTGATTGTACTTTGAACTCTGACATTAAAAGTCTTAATACAAGAGAAGTTCAGGACAAAGCAATATGATAAAAAGAATCCAATGTAATGAGATTAATTTGCCATAAGAAATTCAGAAACAAAAGCCGAATTCTCATAAAAATCTGAAGAATATTTTGTTACTGAAGCAAAAAAGAGACTTTTAGTTTGATTCATAAAGAGAAGAACCTATATTTTAATTCCAATTTACATTTTATGGTATTTAAACTATTTTAATCTCTAATTTTACATTGTGTAGTATTTAATGACCAGATGAAGAGCCACCCTGTGGAGATACTGGTCATGATTTATTATCATTATCATTAATATTATTATTATTATTATTAATTTTCAAAATAAATTTAGTGAAAAGAATACTAATATTTCACCCAGGCATACAGGGCTTCATCAGAGTAATTAAAAGACTTGTGGCATCAAAAGTCAATTTCTTTCCATCACATACAAAACTTTTTATATCATTCAATTTTTTTTATGAAAGTATAAATTTTTTGTAGAGAATCAGACCTGGTACTACCCCTTCTTTCATCGGCTGGATTTCATCATCACTGAAAATGGTTGGGATGCATTCAGTCCTGAAGTAGAGCTGAAAAACTTAATTGATGGCAGCGATAGCTGGAGGATCTGTTCTCTAAACAATGAATTCAAAGTAAGGCCTTTCCCATGCAAATATTAAGCCATGCTTTATAAGCTACTGCTTGATTCCAATTTTTCGTGTTCTTATTCATCTCAGTTTCTTTTGCATATGATCATATGATAGTTCTTCATTAAATTAATTCTATATGTTTACAATCTACTGCTTCTATCACAAATGTTTTTTATTGATTTGTAATGTCATATTTTTTCAAATATTTTCATGACATGTCAAATATTTTATATCCTATCTTTTTTACCTGCTGCTTGTTGTGAAGTTCCAGAAGAGATGTTGTAATAAGGCTGTTAAGGGCTTGGGGCAGAGTAACCTAGCCTAAAATAGCCCAAGGGGACAATTTTCAGTTGGGGTCCATATCCTATCTTTTTAAGCGTAACAAACTACCCTTTTTGCAAAATTTTATGCTGGTATCACAATTTACAGAATGGTTTGACTAACAGCCCTGACTGAATGGTATGGTGTGTTTATTGTAAAGATCGAATCAACTGCAAACTTTGTGACGTCACTGATTCTTATGCTTTGTCACTCACACTAATTGTTTTTAAAACCCCAAAAACAAACCTTCCCATGCAAATTCTTGAGTTAATTTTTTCGTTTTATATTGCAACAATATGTAGAAGCTTTAATTTCTTTCAAAAAAACTATGTGTGAAGTTTCATTTCATAGCCACTTTAAAGTTAGAAATAGTTTCCTTAATCTAACTTCTAAAAGTTGGTTTCTGCTGACTGTGAAATATTTATTCCGTTTTTATGGTATGCAAAAATAATGTTTTGATTTTATTCCTTGCCTTTTAGATCAGTCTCTCTTACCCAGAACTAAATATTGTACCAAAAGCTGTCACAGATGATCTGATTTTGAAGTCATCATATTTCCGTTTTGAAGGAAGATTTCCAATTCTTGCATTTTTGAATAGGAAAAATAAGGTTTGTACCTGGTTTTAAATTTCACGAAACTTACATTAATTTTGCGACCTTTTTGTCAATCTTTTGATAAGACCGTTAATTTTGTGAAATTGCACAGATATTGAGAAAAGTGCACAAACATTGAAAAATGTTTGATTTTATGAAAATTCTATTATTTTGTGAAAATTTTACAAATTTTGTAAAGCTTTAAAATTGAATTTATGAAAATTTGAAAAGAACTTTTGAAAATTTGAAAAAATTTATGAATAATGAACAAATTTCATGACAATTTCTTGATATTTTTTAAAACTTCATAAATTTATCAAATTTAGATTGCTACAAAGATTTTGAAAGCTCATTCAGTCTATCCAACATTAGTCATATCTTACAATTCAACCTGCTATTGCTTCCAGATTTTGATGTATTTATCTTTGTGATGTACTTATTTCAGAAAATCTTTATTGTAATAATTATAAACTTAAGTGCCAATAAAAGGGAAGATATTTTATTGAATTTTTTTCCACCAGGTCGATTTAGATATTTATAGAGTTTCTTCACTACTCAAAAGCTATCTGCAAATACTTTTTCACCTCTTTTGAAGGTGCCTCTTCTGAGATCTTCACAGCCACAGCCTGGGCATCAAGGGAAACGTTGCAAAGAAGATGAAAAGTTTCTGAGTACTATACTGCAAGGTCATTCCAAGAAAGGCTTTATTTTTGATACCAGGTCAAGGTCTGTTATTAGTGCACATAAAAGCAAAGGTAATTAATTTCCTTAAAAATTTTAAGAATAATGATCAGTTGCATTTTTCGTAAATGTTGTTGTTTAGTTGTATTTACTAATTTAGTGAAAAACGAAAGAGAAACTCTCCACGTGTGTCTCTGTGAAACTTTATCACCAACTCCATTAAAAAATAGCTTTGTACAAACTCAAATGTTGAGAACAGAGAGTTTTTGAATTAAATACAAAAGGAAGAGAAAAGAGCCAGATGAAAACAATAGGGCTAAAGAATTATTACCCAAGTTGAAAACAAAAGGTGTTCTCTGCTATTGTTTTGTGAGTTTGTTTGTTTTGCAAGTTTGTGAGTTCACTACACATTCATAGTAACTGTATGTTATTGTAAATTGATTAGTTTTATTTAGTTTTATTTTTTTATGTTTTTGTGTATTTCACTTTCACATGTGGATCTGCTACTCTGTTACAGTTATTTCAAATCACGCCTTTGATCTTTATAACAAGTCTTATCTTGTATCCTTACCTTTATGTTTCTTCCTACAGGAGGTGGCAGCGAATCAGAATCAAAGTATCCTCAATGGAAGAGAGTAATTCTTGGAATTGATCAGTATATTTCTCTTCCGGATAGCATTGGAAAATTACATGCTGCCTGTGCTGACAAAAAGACTGGAGCTTGGCTATCAAATTTAGAGAGCAGTGGTTGGTTAACCACGGTTGAGGCTGTTTTGACTGCTGCAGTGAAAATTGCAGAGCAAATTGACACCCATGGTTGGTTTTTTGATGATAATACCTATCTAGTGGGAAATTTTACTAAACAGTTTTGAATTCTAACAGCAGTTTTCCTAGAGAATGTGGCATATAGGCACTTATTGCCCAGATGGAACAGAGTCACTGTGTTACACATTTTTATACAGTTTACAGCAACATTGATTTAATGTTTCATCTTAAGTATATGTTATAAATTTTTCATTGTGCTTTTAGCTGCATAGAAGACTTCAGGGACAAACAAAATTTGAAAGCATTCATTCTGATCCGATCGACAATTTTAAGATTCACATTAGTTTCTAAATGGTTTCCTTACTGAGAAAAAAATATATTCAAGAGGCATATTTTTATCATAGGTCATAAAGTTAAAACTTTGGTTTTGAATCAATAATGTTAAGTTAAAATCTTATACCCAGTTGTCAGTCGAAAAAGGCCAATCAGGGACCCAAACACAAATTTATTGTTAAAGAAGAGTTTTTTATGTTGAAAGGGAGATGCTGTTTTATTCCATCCCCCAATCTTTGGGTTTTGTGCCCTACATTGCCAGAATCAAACTGGAATAATTACTAAAAAATACCAGACCTCATTTGGGTGGTAGGAACACAATCCTTTTTAAATGGACGGAAGGCATTCCTTTCACTGTAAACAATACATGAATTGACAGCAAAGAACAATTTTGAATGGCCTTTTTCAAGGTGTTATACTATAAAGAGTTCCAAACAAAAGACCTCAGTAAATCTAAAAAAATTAGCTTTTTCTGAGGCATTTTCAAATTTTGTATTTATTGAGAGATTGATTATAAAGTGTAATGCCCAACACCTTTGATTGGCTTATCATTTCTTCCTAGCATACTAATTGTTTTTCATGTACAGATACTCCTGTACTTGTTCATGAAGATAATGGAATGGACATCACTCTTGTGCTGACATCATTAGTACAAATACTTCTCAATCCTGAAAGTAGGACAATCAGGGGGTAAGTATTCTGCTTAAGCTTACCCTAACAGCCCCATATGCCTGCAGGATAGAGAGTGCAATAAACAAATTTTGTCTGTAGGCACCCCTGATGGTTTGTGCATATCAGGTTACTTTCAAATATGCCTTTGCTACTGCAAAATTTTAATATAGCTTTTAAAGAATTCACATCATTCATGTAACATAGAATTTAGAATAAAATTAATGCAGTTGCCCCTACGAGTTTTTTATGATGCACTGCAATTTGTTTGAAACCTTACAGGATGAATTCTTTGGTTGGCTTTCTGGAATCCCTCGACTCAATATTTCAAATCTTGATCCAGTGCCACTTTGTGAAGCAATACTTTATTGTACTTGCTTATAGAATTGTTATTGAAACTAAACTTCACTTTATCAAAGAAACTTCTCCTTTTTCTTGTTTCTTATTTTCCTTGAAAACTAAAAATCATGTAAAAAGCTGGCATGCAATTTTTCTAAAGATACCTTACATATAGTTTTTGCCCTATTTTGCTCAGTTATTGCTTTCATATGTAGCTCTATTTAAAAACCGTATCTGTCAAATATAAATGTATTGTGTCTTTCATCACTGCATGAGGCATATATTTAGGTAGTTTCAGTTGTAGTTGGATTTTAAATTAATAAATATTTTTAGGCTTGATTTTCAAAAGAAAGAGAAGCACTTTCTGATCTCTACTTGGACACTGGCCAAACTTTGCATGACTTATATAACATGCTCATATAGCATAAGACACACTGTGCAGGGTTGATAATTAGATGTTTAGATGGTTATACATGATTTGTTCATTTGCCTGTGAGCAGGCCTTTCTCAAAGACGTGGGCTATAGCGCACACCTGCGCAAACCTCATGCAAAATAAATTTATGAGGGCTTTTTTCCCCACGCAGTTTTTCAAACCAACATTCTCATTTAATCCATGCAGTTTAGCTTCCCAATGTTTGTACTTCTTACAGCTAAATATCAGGGTGTTAGTGAATAAAAGGAAAGAGTTCTTACATGTCTATGTGTTTCTCACATGTTAACAAACTATTGTATTATCTGCTAAAACTTTTGGTGGAATAGGAAATGTGTTTGCACAAAAGGAACAACATGTAGTGTGATCAATGCTACGAAAAATGAAAGTTAGAAACGCTACATCATGCTGTCAAATATGAAACAATTTCTTTTCAAGTCACAACATATATAAACTAGGCATTCTCAAAATGCCACATTTGACCGGCAAAATCTAACATAACTTTGCCTTATGTTCCTCTTTTTTCTGGTTTTAAGGAGCAGTAATACTAAATTTAAAGGTAGTAATACACACAAAAATGCCTTCTTAAAATGAATAGTGTTTAAAGAATTGGCAAGGTAATGTATTTCGATTTTGCAAATACCCAATTATAAAAAAATTAATAAAACAGTTATGCAAGGGCTAAATAGCCCACTGCAGCCAAACTGGCAAGGGCTTTTTAAAGCCTGCTTTGTTCTTTTTCATGGAGAGGCCTGGTGTTAGCTGATAGATTGTTAGATGATAAGGCAGAACTGCTGTGTCACATAGCTTATATATCACTGTTTTCAAAATCTTTTGTAAATGCACAGAAAAGTGTTGATTTATTTTTTGATCTATGTAAACCCAAGTTATGCTTGCTATAATTGTTTCTTTACTCATTTATTTTTTATTGCACAAGTTTTTATCAAATTGTTTCTCTTTTATCATTAGTCTTCAAAGTCTTATTGTCCGTGAATGGCTTTGGGCTGGACATCCTTTTGCAAGTCGAAACATGAAATTGGGTGTGAGCCTTGCAAGGTATAAAGGCCAAGGAAGTGTGTTCCTGTTATTTCTAGATACACTTCATCAGGTAAGCTGTTTCCAAAATCAATGGAATGAAAATAAATTGTTTAAAGAGCAGTGTCATATGATATTGAGAATGGATATGTCTAATCAAACAGTCAAACTACTGATCAGTGGAGTTTAGAACTGTTTGATTTCCTTGTTTTTATAACAGTCTTTGTTATTAAAGCATAATCATCATTTGACAAGATGTGGGAAGGGGGTGTGAGGCTACCTAAGAATCAACCTAAGAATCAACGGCTAAACATCAAAAATACCTTTTATTAATCTGCAGCCACTTGTTTTGGAAATTTTTCAGCTTCCTTTCTCAATTCATGCTAACAAAGTTTTCCTAAAAAACGTTTTTACTTTATGTAATGGAAAGATAGGCAAATGTTTGGTATTAGGTTTAAGTGAGTTTAAAATAATAAAATCGCACACTTAAAGGCAGTCTTATCAATAGAGTTTCCCCTGGGTATTGGGCATGCAGCCATAACAATCCCAATAGTATCTGCATTGGGAAATGTTTGGAGAGTACCACCCTGCCATTAGTATTGGGAAAGGACCACAATGCTTTGTAGGATTTTGTGTAGGATTTATTTTTTTAAACACTTCAAATAAATGGACATAGGAAAGAAACCATTTGATTGGCCAAACTTGAATGATGGGTTAGTATGACATCATCAACAAGTACTACAGTTAACTTCACTTAAGTCAAACTCAACATTTGACCTTCCTCTCATTCAGATTTTTTTGACATTAATTGTGTTACTGCATCATCAGTTGTCAGCATACTGCATCATTTCTGATAATGTTGGCAGTTTACAACAAACATTTGTGAAGGAATCATATTTCATTAAAAAGCTAGAACGATGGGAAAAAATCAGGAAATAATTTTTAATTTGAGATATTGCCTTAGATTTCCTTCACCTTGGATGACTTTGATTTCAGCTGCTTTTCTGAAGTTCTCTGCTAACAGTTATGGCTATGAATTTTGAACTTTGCATTTTGAATTATTACTTTTTCATTTACAATTCTGATATTGATTTTTAATTTCCTGGCAGATCATCAGCCAGTATCCATCATCTTTCGAATATGGCGAGGATCTTCTTTGCTTTCTAAGTTTCCATTCATATGCATCACCATATGGTAGGTTTTGCAATTATAGACTAATATTCTTTTGTATTTGTATTTTGTATTCGTGAGCAGTGTCTATGGTCAGCCATTTTAGGGGACCACACTCTTTGATTCTAATTCCTGGAATTACAGAGAAGCTGGGACCCTCCTACTCAAAGGTATGTTTCTTCCTGTCAGTGACTCATACCCAAGACCCTTTGATCTGTATACCATGACACACACTACTGACCCATCTTCAAACAGTTATCAATCAGCCATGCAATTCATTTTGAGTTAATGAAAATCCATACCTTATTCTAGCCATTTTGTGAATATATTCTTCCTTATTCCTTTCCTATTTCATAGCAAAACTAACATTTTTAGGGCCCCCGGGCCCAAGCATAGACAAGGCCTCCCTTTCAACATAGTGTGAAAGTCTGTACATTTTATTTGTAGCGGAGATAAAAACATTTCCTGAGTTATTGAAAAATTAATTTAAAGCTAAAAAACTTTGTCTCTTTAGCTACAAGAAATTCAATTGATGAGTCGAACATATACAATTATTATTACTGTGTCTGAAAAAAATTAGAATTTTATTCAATTTTATATTGACAAGTATGCGCCCTTATCATCTTGATTTACTACTACTCGATATTGCACAATGGTTGCTGCAGAAGGATTAGAAAATTTTTCCAAATTGAGTGATTCCAGTTCGCTGGAAAATGCACTCTTTGAAGCAATTTTACCTATGCATAGTCCCTTCTGCTTAGAAGCAGATGATGAAACAGTATAAAAGCCCAGCCTTAAAAATGTCTTGGTGGTAACTGCCCCTTTTTACCAAGACCACTATGCACAGCCAGGTTTAATGATAACCAGTTCAATAGTTACCAACAGATTGAGATGTGGTTGTTTTGTCTGTAGAATCTTTCTCTGAAAATCCCTTAATCAGAAATATTACATCAATCCTTTCTATCATGAATTAATTGGGACTGACCATGAATTATTCTGATTACTGTATGTAGTTATTTTGTTTATCATATCTCTCCTGTCTTGTGGAGACAATGTTCTTCACAAAGATTTTACCTCTAATATAAAGACACTTGTGTAAGAGAACTCCTATGAAACCATATCAATAAAAAAAATTTAGGCCCGTTTTTGTTTGTTGGCCCTGGGCCCAGCTATATAGGCTAACCCCCTTTAGATGCATCTGTTTATTCACTAGTTCCATCCTGTCATGTCAAGTATCACTATCATATTTTTCATTTTAGGGACCTTTTTATTCAATAATGAATCTGAAAGAAAGAGAGAGAAAGTATCTTCTAAGACTATTTCAGTGTGGTGAGTAGCATATAATGATCTTGTGGTTATGTTGCAAGATTAGCGATGCAAAAGTTGGTGTTTTTCTTATATTACTGTCAGCAGAGCATGGAACATTATGTGCCAGATAATGGCAATAGGGAACAAAATATGCAATGTGCAAGAAGAGCTGGCACACCCTTATAGGTTTTTGTCTCTCAGTGTCCCTTAACCTTGATATAATTGACATATTTTAAATATAATCTACATATTTTAGTTACCTAATGTCATTCAATACCATTCAGTAATGTCATTCAGATTGTATCCAGTCTTAAAATGTTATATTATGTGTTCCTTGAATGGTAGAAATCAAGCTTTTTATCATTTTATTAGTGTCTGGACCTTAAACTATGTCTCTACCTTCTTATAGGTAGTTCTGTTATCTTGGTAAATGCTTATAAATTTATTGAAGCCTTCGTTGATTTTTTAGGTCCTATCTCAACCAGCCCAAAATTCTACAGAGTTTTGTAAATCCTCTATATGAATATAATGATGGACCGTTATGGCCATCAGTAGCCCCTCCAAGTTTGGTAAGTTCTGGCATGTTGATGGTAGGCCTTTTAAAGTTCACAACTTTGCTGATGATTTAATGATATCCAAAGTCGACAATCCAGTTTATTGTGTTAAAACTCTTGGTAAACAGTGCATTCAATGAAGTTGAATTGGAAATATTTAGGATTGTTTTGGCAAATGCTCCTTTTTTGAAGTGTCTTTCAAGAACTTTGGAAGTGTGCTTCTTGAAATATAAATGTTTTTGTACCTGTGTCCCCAACTTGCTAGTGGCTTATCAAAAATTTTAATTTTCCTTCAATCACACTTTCTACCAAAGTTAGTTAGGGCTTTAAAAAGTGTTGAGTATTAAAGATACATATGTTGTCAACAGAGGTTTCCAGAAGCCTTTTTGGGGAAATAGTTTTTATGATTTATAGACTTCAATCTTTTTTTGACTTCTAAAATTTCATGTAAATCACAAAGCAAACATTTTTTTTCAACTGAAGCTCTTTGAATCCAATTCTTTAATCTGGCATTTTTATCAATCAATTTTATTAGAATATCTGGTCTTTGATGTTCCTTAAATGGGCAGTAAGTTCCACTCCACGGAAAAAAGTTCAAGATCAAGCTGTGAAAATGAAAGAGCAGAATACAAAATTGAAGGAACAAGCTTATCAGCTTCAAAGGTAACATAAAAGGATGCCCATATTTAGCAGTTATGTATTGTTTGTACCATTGTTAAACCACAGATTTCTGATAACAGCAATTTTTTGATGTATTATGTTTCCCCTTCAATTCTGTAAGATTGAAAATTGTCAGAGTACTTTTGGGACAAATGGATTGTCATGAGTGTCTTTCCTTTCATGTATGCCAGTTGAGTTGGCATTCTATGGGAGTTTATGGTATTCAGTAATCAGCTAGAAGTATTCCTTACTGACTTGGAAGTAATCAATGTCTTAATTCTTTAATTAATTCTTTATCCTTTAATTCTTTTAGGGAGTACCTTGAGCTACAAAAAGAAATAGTTGCAATCTTTGGTGGTGAAAATGATGAAAAACATCTTTCAGAGTAATAATTTCAAATGACCAGTGGGCTTAATTTTTTTACAATTGTAATGTCAGACGTCAGAATGACAAAATAATTCAGAGTAATAATTTCAGATGACCATTGGGTATAATTTTTACAATTGTAATGTCTAATGTCTGAATTGCAAAGTATTTCGGAGCAATTTTGCAAATCTTATCAGTTGCTTTATTTTAATGCCTTTATTAAAATTTGTAATTATTGCAGCACAATCAATAATAGTTTTGTTTGTAAGCAATTTCTGTAATTGTTTAATAGTGAATTTCTGGTATTGTGGTTCTCTGCAATACTAATATTTCATGACAATAAACTGTTCCTTAAAGATTCATACATACCATTAATTTAAGCATACAATTTGACTTAAAAGGCCAGGTATTAAGACAAGATGGCAAAGGCAAAGTGAAAAGATCGTGTTTATAAAGCTCTCTCAAACATTCTTAATGATGATATCTATTAATTTTGTTTCAATTAAAAAATAAAAACAATAAAATAACTCATTCAATCAAATTTTGCAAAACATAATCATGAGTGATGCTGTAAAAGACAGGTAACTGCGCATGAAAGAATTAACTTGTAGATTGATTCTAGTAACCATGTTTTTCTAATCCATAGCTTTGTTTGCATTTCTCCATTTTTTTGTTTAAACATCAATAATTGTCTGTAGGTTTTGCAGCAATGTTTAGATGCACAGCCATTTATGTTTAGCTTTACACAAAATTATATCTGGGCAATCTCCTGTTGAGCAAATCCCCTGTCAGGTTCCATCTATCAGGTTTGCAAAATGCAAGATATATTTCTACAAATAAACAAACATCTCACTTTGGAGAGAAAAATAGACATTTTTACATCTAGCTTAAAAGTTTTCTCCATAACCCAACCAGCGCTCCATTAAAAATTAAGCATGGTACTGTTAAGCATCTTAGAATTTTGTATTTTCATTGGTTTCAAATTTATTGCAAGGTTGTGTTTACAAATAATCCATCTTGAATTTTGAATTGTTTAATAAAGCTGTATTCTGGTAAACTAAATATGCTGGCCTTTAGACCAAATTGTAATGACATCAAACATACTTTCAAATCTGTTGACAGAGATTATTTCTTGCTGTTTACTAATTCACTGCACATAATGTTTTATAGAATAATCATAGTATCTTTATGTTTTATGAATTACAATTTTTATTAATTTAATCACAGAATTACAAATTTCCTTGATCTTAGGTGATTTATTGTTCATGTTCTGTTCCAAAAATTCTGAAAATTTCATGAAGGCAGCATCATTTTCAAAAGCTTTTTGAAGCCCAATTGATCTATCAGCACAGGCACACATGTTATCCATGCCAATAAACCACAATTCTTCAATTTCAGGCCATTCTTTACTTGTTTTGTTCTTCTCTCTGTTTATATACGGGCAGCACAAATACAAGCTGGACAAGCATTGTTTGAAGAATGCTACAACACTGGTTTCCCTGTCTTTGTTTTGTGATCTTGCTAGGATAAGCCCAAGTGTCACAGCATTCATCACAAGGCTCATAGACTTTGAGGATGAAACATATTCTAAATCTTGGATAATTTTCTGTAGGATTTCTCCAAAAATATTCTCATTATCTGAAGCTAGCCCAGGTTCTGTGATTGCAATATTCATAAAAACACCAAATAATGTTTCAACCACTTCTTGAGAATCATTTCCTTCACCATGGTTGGAGAGCAAACCTGACAGATATTCCCACAAAGTTTTATGCATCTCTTCTTCCAACATTATTTGCCTTGTTTTCTTCTCTGCAGACCAGTGGCATAGCACAGGCAGTAGAAATGAAAAGATGGATGGCATAGATTGAAATTTTTGTTCATTTCCATCCTCTGTTTTCATTCTTAAGGACTCTAACAAACCTAAAGAGGAAAAATAGATAAATTTTCAGGGTATACTGGCCAGGACTTTATTAAAATACATTTTCAGCAAATTTGTTTAGTTTTCAAGAGGTTTGCAGCTCAGTTTTATCAAGGCAGAAGTTTTCTGACACAGTTTGATAATACCTGCGTACAAACTTGCAAAAGTATTGGAATAACTGATAGACAATGTCATATAATACATGCTAATGAAGCTGAAAAATAACAAGGTCTTATTCCTTTAATTCCTTTAAAATTTGGACATAGATAATGTATACATTTCCATGAGGTAGAAGGAAAATTTATTCAATCATACCTATTCTGTCTTTGGTAAATGAAGCCTTTGCCAGCTTTATCAAGAATGGTGAAATCTTTATTATGTCCTTTTTCATTGCCTGGGTTTCTTCTGACAAATATATGCATAAAAGCCTGGTGCAGGCAATAACTTTGATATCTTTACATGCATCACTCTCACTTGAGTTGTTTCTTACCTCATCTAAATATTGAACAAGAATGGAGATAGCCTCATGGATTGTTTGTAGAATTTTGGGAAGGATAGGTGCACCAATTGTGCAATGTTGCAGGTCTGTTACAACTTTGTCCTCTGTTGAACTCAGTGCTACAATTATGTTTTCAATTGTACTAAAAAGAAAACTCAGAAGTTCAAAATTGTCCTTGTTGTCATAGAAAGCCAAGTTGATTTCCAATGCTGTCAATGAGACCACGAGGTGCAAAAACTTCTGACTATACTTCTGGTTTTCATCTTGATAGACCGTGTATGCCCAAGTGAGACCACAGAGTTCAATGAGCAATGACACAAGCTTCAATGACAAATGTCTGTATTTCACAACAGTTTTCGACTGAATTATTTCCATAATGCCTTTACGCAGACACTTTAGATCTTCTGCATGTATTTTTAGATGCTCATCTTTGGTCAAAAGCTTTTCTTTTCTTACAAGTAACAGATCAAAATAAAGTTCTAAAAGCTCAAATTTTTTGATGTCTTGGCACAAAGAAAACTTGTGAGCAATACTACTCATGCAATCATTTAGAGCTTCTGCATATGGATTCAATTGCTCAGTGTCTAATGCTACCAAAGTTTGCCAAATTAACTTTCCAACTTTCATGTCAACTTCATCTTCAAATTTCAAGTTTGCATTCTTCAAAAAATCTAAGCCACTATCTATGATAGAAACACAACCACTTCTACTTGAGGCCAAAGAACTCAGTATTGAAAAACAATGATCAAGCATTTCTTTATCGAGCAGATTCTTGTCAGATCTATCTGTCTGTTTATCTTGAGGTAAGTCACCTTCAGATACATCTTTCTGCTTTTCCTGTGATACATCAGTAATGATTTGAAACAGCTTTGGTACCATTTGGAAAATATCGTGGTGTCTGCTTGAATAATCATCTATTTCATTTACTGTGCATGACAAAATCGTAAGGCCAATGGAAACCAATGCCATCTTGCCACAACCTTGCAGCTCTTTCGTAGAATTAAGAAGCTTCTTTATGAAACTTAAGTCAATTGATAAATAAACAAGTTTCCTTTCATCAGTGCTTAATTTATGAGTTTTGTCCATTTCGCCAACAACAAGAAGGGCTGCGAATTTTTCACTGTCTGTCTGTGCCTTCTTTAACAAACCCACGCATCTTGTGATAGATTCTCTAATTTTTGGTTCGGTCTCCATTATTAAAAAATAATCACTTCACCTTATCATTCGTGGAGCTTGGAACGTTCGATAATGCGCAAATCTACAACAACGTGATTTTTACGCTTCGTTCCGCCATTGAAGAAAGCTTCGCTTTGAAAAAGAGGCAAATGGTGACGTAAATCTCGTATTCACTTTTGCCTCCTATTCCGTCTGTTGTCCAGATTTGTTGTGATTTTCTTTGAAAATGCAAGAGAGCAAGTAAACAAATAACAAGGAGCGATAGAATTCAGAAGTTCCAGCATGTGCAACAATGACAGCTGCTCTGCATGCAAACCTACACGTATGGTCATTAAAGAAACTTATGTCACAAGCTGGTAAGAAAATCTTTTTATATATGCTATATTGTCAAATGGTGGGATTGGTCTCATTTGGCAACCCTTTTTTCTTATTTAATAATATTCTGAAAAAGAACTAATGGTACAAAAGATAGTGAAGAAGTAACATAGTATGTTTTAGAATTTGATGCCAGAAATTTATGTGCCTCAGCCAAACACCAGTACCTTCAAAAACAAAAAATTATGCCAAAGAGATGTTGTCCAGGCCACAGAATGTCCAGGCCTTCTCTAAGCAAGGTGAGGGTGCTCCATAAAACAAGCTCCTGCGACACTTGAGGCACTTTATTTCATGCCTCCAAATAAAATTGCACTGAGGGCATCTTTGGGAGAAGTGCAAAATGTTGCATTTTCCCTCATACAGATGTACAAGTAAACTATCAGAAAATGGATAAATAAATAAAAATAAAATGAAAAAATAAAAAACTTCATTGTATGAGAATTCAGATTTAACTCAATATGTGTAGGCCAAACAAAAGTTTTGGTGAAACCAGTTCTTATTCATAAGGAAATATGAAAGCTTTACACTTACTGAACAGCATCTGCTCTTAGCTTGTTTTTACATTTTCCATGTGAATTTTGTGAGCTTTGAGCAAGAAGCACCAGCTGTTACCCTCTTCTCCAGTAAACAGATGAAACAAGGGTGTTCATAAATTGATTGCCCCCCATGCATTGGCGCCAAGCAAAAAGCATTGCCAAAACATCAGTTTCAAGACATCAAAACATCAGGGCTCCCCTTCTGCCCTTTTTCTATTTTGTCACCATATACTCATTGTTACTATGTTATCATTATCATATTACTATTTTGTTTTCTTTCCTTTTTTGTCTTTTTTCTCTTTTTCTTCCCTTCCTATGTTGCTTTTCATTTTTTTATTGTTTTTGTGTCAATCAAACAAAAATTTTGTAAAAAATCATTTTTTGTCACACCAACTGGCTACATGGTTTTGATATTTTAATTTGAATCTTTTTATGTGTCTATTTCAGCTAGCGTCTTTATATTTCAATGGTTTTTTCTTTATTCTTATTGCATTAACTTTGTTTTGTTGCTACCTAGCTACCAAAAGTAGGTTTTATGACTCTGGTTTTATTTCTGCTATTTGGCCTTGATTTACATAATGGTTATTTGTTTATTGAAAATTTATCAATTTTGTCCCATGCGCTATTATCATTTTAACATAACTGTATGACAGAGGAGAGGTTGTATGTTTCAGGCGAGAATCATTCTGGTGTCCATATTTATCATGACCGAAGCACAGGTAAATCTGTTTGGTTTGTAAACAAATCCTTGTGGGGTTTTTGTTTTCTCTCCCTCTTTCTCCATGTTGACCATAAAAAACCACTCACAGTCACGTTTTTAGTTGCTGAAATGTATCAGCTAGGGGGGCTCAAGCCCCCAATCAGCATTCTCATTGGAAACTATGGGCTTTTGTTTGATAATTGACGAAAGATAAATGTGCTGAAAGTCCAGATTTGCCAGATTTGATAATTACAAAAGGAGACCAGATGGGTGAGCAACTCTAGTTAAAATGCTCATAAAAAGGCCAAATCAATAAAATCTCTCAAAAGTACATTGCGTAGATGCTGTTTATATTTCTCAGTATGTCATCTTGACAGAAAATTATGGGCCTTATTTATGCTTGCATTTAGCCCCCCCCCAATTAAAGCCTGCATTTCTGTGGCATCTTTCTCAGCACTTTCAAAATAATTGTTAATGTTAGGAAGATGTAACTTCTTTGCCATTCCTTTTATACAGCAAATAGTAAACATAACAATATTAGTCTTCTTGATCACATTTTATGCAATATTTTTCTAATATCTCTTTCATTTGAATGCTCATTTTTCAATTCATTTGTATTGATTTAGGAAGTATTGGAGAAGACCCCATTGTTGAAAGCAAGAGACAGTGGGTTGAAGGTACAGTCTTTTTGCAGTAATCTACTGGTTTGATGATAGCAAAAAAGCTTTAAAGATAAGAAATTGAATTCAAGATTTAAACCTTTCTGGTTAGGTATATATTAAAAAACATCTGAATGCCATTTATTGTGTGATACAAAGTAATTTTCAATTGAGGACACAGAATGAGATAAAGCACTCATTGTATCCTTATCTGAGCAGATGCAGAATTTATCATAATTTATAAGCAGAGGTAATTTCAAAACCAAATAATTCTTAGGAAGAGGAATAAACTGGATATTGCCCAACAAAAGACCAGAAAAGCTAAGAGACAATTTGCAAGATCTCGAGGTAATTCACAATTATTTAAAATTGTTTGTTGCTTGCTATTGAAAATCTCGAAATTTGCTGCTCGTACTTTTATTTTTTTGCAAGGTCACATTTTTGTAAAAATTTTGATAGATATAAATAACCACAAATTCCTGTGCTCAAAACTTTAGTCTTATGGCTTAGTATTAAGTATTAAGTTTTAGTATTAAGTTTTAAATGGTAACAAAACTATCTATGGGTTAAGTGGATAATGATGTATAATGCCAATATCATTTTCAACTAACGTTTATTGCTAGTCATTCCTCATTGCTAAATCTGACATGAATCTGGCCATCACGATGAAAAAATATTATTTGAAAATCTGAATGTAGTCTTCATTAAGCAAAGTTTTTATGCATATTGAAGATGAATTTCTTTATTCTTTGACCAATTTTAATAGGAACTCCTTGATACATTTAAAATTGCTGCCTTGAAATGGAAGTCGATTCGACATCTCCAGGTAAGAGTTTTCATTTTGTTTCATGAAAGTACCGTAATGCCTCGAACAAGCGCCCCCCTCAAATAAGAGCCCCCTCGAATAAGTGCCCACCCTAGAGGTGAAGATATTGAATAAGTGCCACCCTCGAATAGGCGCCCAACTCTCGAATAAGCGCCCAACCCTTGAATAAGCGCCAATCCTTCAACCTAAAAAAACGGGCGTTTATTCGAATTTTCAACGAAAACATAATTGGAAGGCAATTCAGCCAGAAAGATTAATGGACAACACAATTTGCACCCAAATCTACTTTTTAAATAAGCGCCCCCTCGATCAAGCGCCTCCCTCGAATAAGCGCCCACTCTGGAGCCTCAAAAATTAAATAAGCGCCCGGGCGCTTATTCGAGGCACTACGGTATGGTGAATCCATATTTAAAGTCTTCAGGCTAGCCAGCTTGCTAAGTTATGTAGAACATCGATCAGATGCCTTGTACAGTAAAAATCCACATGTAAGATCCTACATTTTTCAAAATTTGGCAAAAGAGGTTCTTGTATTATGCGGTACTTACCCGGTACTTATTGACAGTTTAGGCTAAATAGGTTATTAGTTAGGTTCTTAATTTCTACAAAGTGGATATTGTTATTGATTATCAGAAAACAACATTAAATCGGCCTGTTCAAAATATTTATTAGTGCACCAATGTTGCCAGATGTCCACCAAGAATGGATCAATGATACAGTACTGTGTATAAAACAGTAGCAATATTGTTTCATAACTTCAAATTTCACATTCAAATTTCAGTTCAAATTTAACATACACTATGCTTTTTGAGTTTTATTTTAGCAATTCAATATTCGGTCACCTTTTTTGATTTCAGTAAAAAAAGTATATAAATTAAAATGGTGAGACCCCACATTTAAGAACCTGTGTGAAATTGTTTGGCGAAGTAGGTTCTTATATTTTGGAGTATTAAAAAAGCAAATTTCTGCCAGAAGGTTCTTAAATCCCTAGGTTCTTACACGTGGGTTTATACTGTACGACACTTTGGGTTCGAACAGTAAGAGCCAGAAAAGTTGAATGTTTTAAAAACTTGATTTTCATCCTTGTTGTTTTAAAAATTGCATTGACGAACATAGGAAATACATGTAGCTCTGTTCGTATTTTGTCTAGATTCAAATATGCGAATAACTACTGAGAGAAGTAAACCGTTTTATTAATAATCATTTTTATCAAACGAAAGCAGAATTGTTTCGATAACTTTTTTACAATTTTGTTTGTAAAGTTGAATATCATAGCTATCTGGCAGGAATCCATTGAACCACACGAAACCTCTAAACACTGCATAAAAAACATTGTTCTGAGGGCAAGAGGGGGATGCAGTATTAAATATAAAAAATTGATGTAGCGTAACAAGACTTTCTGCAGGGATTTTAGCTATTCTTTAATTCGATATTCTTTAAGCTTTTTATGTCACTGTAACTTGCCCCTTCTCTCATACAGATACTTTTTAGCAATGGAACAATAGTGACTATTACTGTTTCTTTCAACTTTGCGGATGTTGATAAGATATTAGTTGATAAGTCACTGGTTGGAAAAATAAGCGACCCGATTCACAATGGTAATTGAATTATTTTTTAATGTTTGCTGCATCTTTTACTCCTCATTCATTATCATTGGTTTTGTAGCCATTAATGTCTATGAAATTGGTGTAGATCTCTTTCATTTCCTTCATGATAAAATTTTATTTCCTATCATGTCTCATTATAAAACCCTTTAATTTTCTTTGCTAATATTTCCTTATTTTTGCACAATATTGAAATTTTAGATGCGAAAAGTTCCTTTCTTTTCGAAGTATCTTTTCTAAATGAAAATACTAACAGAATCAGGTTCAAAAATCCTTGATCTCTCATTTGAAAGCTTCTTTACTTACTTCCTTCCTTTGAAAATTGTTTTAAGCTGTTGTCAAACTTTGATGCTCTTCAAAATTCAAAACATGTGTACATATCTATAATAAAGGAATTTACAAGTTCAAATCTTGTTGTATGATATAATATCATCAAATGCTGTTCTCCACAAACTTTTTTATTCATTCCACCACCTTGTTGTTTTATTCAAGAAATCTTGTTGTTTCTTAAACTATTTTTACTTCTGAGTAAGTTACCAACAAAATGCACTTATTTTAACAAGTTAAATAATTCTGTATTAAGTAATTAATTTGATTTAATCAGTAATTTAAATAAGTACGAGAAGTATGTTTATCTAAGCTTTCATGATTTATTGGCTTGTACGTAATTGCTTTTTCCTTGTGATTTTGAACAAAGTTACAGTATTTTGGCTGCATTGTTCCTTGTAATACATAGTAGATATCAAAAAATTTTTCGGTCGCCCAAAAGTTGTGTTTGTACTTTGTATGTTAAGGTTACGGTAAACGTTTTCTGGATGAAAACATCATTTTTTCGATTTTTTCACATTCAAGGAGCTGAACTTTCAAGGCACACAATGATACCAAATTTGAAACAAACAGAAATTTTGAAAGTGGAAAAAATCCCATGTAAACGAAGGTTTCCATAATTTCTTTATCAAAACTTTTAGTTAAGGCCTGAAAATCTCTTGACCTGTTAAGCCGATTATCGTTGCTTTGCGGTTGTGGTCGCATGTCTCATTTACAATATCGCATGGCACATCCATATATCCAATGTATGGCCGTGTTTAATTAAACAGGCTTATTGATCTTAAATCTTCAAGTGACTTGCCCCGGATTACACTGTGGTTTACGAGTGTATCTTGCAAGTGCGATCAGTAAAATCCCGTTTTCTCCGGACTCGAAATTCCTCTACATGCAGGTACGAAAAAGCTATTATGTACCCAAGGAACCAATCGAATGGCTCGATAATTTGCACACGGCCAGGGCAGACGTTGGGCAAACAAAGTGTGTCTCAAAATATTTTTATTTTCTCTGGTCCGTCTTTTATACCCAAATACAGTTGCGGGAGGGTGGAAAAATTATTTGCCAATTTTTGACAAAGTATAGTTTCAAGAAGAGGAGGAATTCAAAAAATCTGAGACACACTTTGGTAGCTTAGGACCTGCACTTCCTGCTGGTCTAAGTCAGATTTTGTTACCTCAAACGCAAGGGTACATAATAGCTTTTGAAGGTGGTACACTTTTTGACCAGTAAATTCGCATGGAAAATAACAGTTAACATTATTTGCCAATAATTTTTATCTGGCTAGATACGCCATAATCTTGTGCATCGAATGATATATAGTTTATCCAGATTCCTTGAGCCGTTTGGCCTTTAGGAAGGAAAAACCAATTTCCGTGTTCAAAACGTTTAACGTAACCTTAACATCTGCTTAACAGTATACCAAAAGATGAAAATTTTGAAGTGGAACAATCCATACTCTAAAGAATGGTATAAAATCACAGCTTTCAATGTAAAAAAGAATTTGTCATACCTTTCATGTGATACTGTAGACTTTTTCATGATATATAATTTGTGCATTAGATGTTAAAAATGGTTTCGCATTTTCTCACAACTGTTTTCAGGTTTGTCACGTGTTCGCTTTCCTTTGCAGCTGTCATTGAAGAATTGTACATGGTATTAGCATTCACAGAAAAGTCTAAGATAGGCTACATTCATTATGGAAAAAGACCAACTGAGAGGAAAGAGGGTGAAAAGCTAAGCTCTTTAGAACTGAAAGTAAGAAACAAATTCATATCCTGACACTGTCATGTTCCCTGATTCAGTGTAAAACGATATAGACTTGTCTCACCAATTTTCGTTGCCAACGTATGCTCTTTTTTCAAATGATGGACAGTGGTGAAGAAATCTGTATGCTTTTTAATTCTAGATCTTTTGAGACTAATATTTTGATTCTATTAGTTTTGTCAAACTTCAACATTCATCAATCAATGATTGTAGTTTTATAACCGAATTTGTTTAATTGCGAAATTTTGTTGATTTTAGAGTGAAATTTTAAAGTTCCCATTTGCCTAAAGTTTTATCAAAAGTCGTCATCTAAATCCTGTTTTAGAAGGTGAGTTTTGTTAGATCTGGAAGCTAATTAAAGCGTTGTTGTGAGCAATTGCCACTTTATGTCTTCTAGGTGAAACTGATTGATATTCCTGGTCCTTCGGGAAGAGCCATAGATAGGAGGCTGTCTGTGAATTGTAGAGGGGACTTGGTAAGTTTTTTCATATACCTATGTAGTATTGTGCATTTGCATCTTCAGTAGGCGCTGAGGAAGAGCTCTTACATACAACGACTGCAAAGAAAATCTAGTAGGCAGACCTTTATTGTGTCCCGTTTTCAATCGAAGGTTCATACAATATTGAAATTTTGCGCTTGTGATGAGAAACGTTTCCAGGTTTATCCTTTTTCTCACAGAGTGGCTAGCATGTACGAATCGAAGTCTCTACTGTTTGTCATTTATTCTGTTTTTATTACATTTTTAGGTTTGTGTGTGGTGGCCATCGTCAAGCGAAGCTGTCTGGCCTTGGTCCCCAATGGCTGGTGATTTAGGCCGAATGAACCTGGTGGTTTTGTCCGTAAGCAGGTGAACAAGCTTCTGTTATTATCTTGTCTTTGTAACTGCATTGAGAACATGGTTATTTGAAGTTCTCCGAATTTAGTTACAAGGCAGAGGGCTTACGCCACCAGCCTCTGGTTCGTTATTGCCTTGCTTTACGGACCCTGCAACAGATCGATCCTCGATCATTTCAACTCAGCAGCGTTATTTGCGACTTATAGAGTAAGTCTAGCTAAGTGTTTATATGTCTTTATGTAGTTTGCTTATAGTATCATGTGTACCTGGTATATGAAACGTATCAATCAGAGTATGAAACCTGGTCCTGCAGCTTGCATTCTCTGATTTGCCTTTTTTACGTCAATGAAGTGAATTTATATGACATAAAATGAGCCTAGGAGTCACTCAAACATTTTATATACGGCGAGGTCCATCCCTAGTCATCTAAATTCATCTAAAAGTATTCAAAAAAACTAACAGACCCAAAATTTTCAGCTAAAAGTGTTGATACAATCCAAAATTATCAAAGTACAAAATCTTGTTTTTGAGCTCATAAGAGACTACTTTTCATAGTAATTTAGACTGTTTATAAGAATAGGAATAATAAGTTTAATACACACATGTTTATTTATTCCCTTTTTTGATATTTTCCTGTGTTAATTGAATGGAAAATAACCCATTGTAAAGCTTATCAAAACTTCAGAATTCTCAATCACAGATTTTTTGTTAGTTGTAAGGTTGCTACCCTGCCGCTATTCAAATGCACTGCCGTCGCTAGTTTGCACACTTATGACTCTCCACATCAGAAAAAGGAGGACATCATTTTGACGTATACATGATTCGTTATAGCTTAACAATGAAATTGTCTTGAACCCTACTTGATTAAATCCTATACCTGCTATCTAAGTTTGAAGGACATAAATACTTTGATAGAGGGTGTTTGCATGTTGCCTATCACGTGTTCGGCTTTCTTCTCCTATCAGCACACTGCTGACCATTTTGTCAATCATGAATACTTTTGTTTTAGTGACAAGTTAGATGTATTGTGTCACATTCATACAGACTTGGACCCACTTAGCATTGCGTTCAGGTAATATTTTTTATGTACATGTCTTGATTTCCGGTTCTTATCATACCATATACAGGAAACTATATCGTAAACTCAGCGACAATGAAAAATGCGTTGCAATTAATTCGGTTTCGCAATGTCCAAAGTAGTTTAGGTATGTACTATCTACAAAAATTCTTATAGGTTGAAAATACACCTTATCTTTAATCTATAACCATAGAAGCAACAAAAAGTGTAAATTTGTTGCATCTTTAAGCAAAATATGAACACAAGTTGAATGGCCTGGTATGGGCAAGGTCATATTAACTTGAAAACTTCCAGAGATAGCTGAACAAATTAAATTTTTTTGAATGAGTATGCATAATAAAGAGTTTTCTATGGAAAGTAACTATATCAAACTATTGAGGTTCCTATAAAATTTACTGAAAAAAATGAAGGGCATTACAGTGTCATTGAATCAGCAATTTATCCTAGCTGCATTTTAATAGCAGAACCCGATAAAAAATCAATACTATGATTAATTTTAGCTATCAATGGTAATTTTTTTAAGTGGCTGATCAATTTTTTTTTCATGACGTTTCCGTTCTTTTTTTCTAATTTTTCAAAATTTAGCTTTTTAATGCCTTTCAGTGGTTCAAACCTATAACTGAGACATTTGTCACAGTTCTTGCGCGTAAATTCTTGATAAACTCTCCGTAATTCTGATGGAAAACAACTTTTACAATTTCTCATTTCGAAATCCCCAAGTTGACCTACAAATTTTTTACGGTTGATTATTTTCAAATGTATTGATTCAATATCAAGTAAAAAATTTGATGGAGTTAGGCGTCGTTTATCTCTAACGAGAAATGATCAAAAAAGTATTTTAAAGTTCACTTCATAGCAATTCTTCGAAAGTTTCAAGGTATCTCAATACGTTGTGAAGCTATGTGTACATACAGAAAGTGGTTTTTTAGTAAATATGAAATATGTTTTTTTTGTACAAACAGTAAATCAGAAATAATATAAGCATATGATAAACAACGGCAAAAGATGCAAGCTATTTATAAAATGTCCAATTGCTTGATTTTATTATCCTTCTCTTGAAGAATTTTCTCCCTGTCAGCCTTAGCTTGTCATTATTGTACATAAAGGATCTGTAAGATTTGTTTGGAAAATTAACAAAAAATTTCTTTGATATCGCTACAATTTGATCAAGCAGAATATTAGTAACTATATATGTTTTTTTGTTTTAAGTAAGCTATTGTTCATTGTCTCTCTTTCATCATTTAGCTACAACGAACCAAACCAACTCTTTTCGGTCGAATCTTCCCAGTCTTCAAGTGGCAGCTACACCCTCAAAAGCATTGTTTACGAATGCAACCAAAGCAAGGTATCTCTTTCTGTATTTTTTTGCTATCTCTTATTTGATAAACTCCTATTTCGTTAAGCTTTAATTTTTTTAATATGTTAACAGTGAAAAAGGACGTTTTTACATAATGTCTTGTTTTGTCATCTGCTAGTAAACCAGATAAAAGTTGCTATGGCTGTCAGGTTTGTTAATGGTCTTTAAAAGGTTTTAAAAAACTGATTCAGTGCACTATAAATGCTATTGTAGATATACGTTCAAATGGAACTTTTTGGAAGCTCATAGCTATGAAAAATATGTCAGAAAATCAAAGGCGTTAAAAGTAATGTACTAAGATATCAAATTCAATACGTTTCTGATTATCAATCATTCTAATTCTGATTATCGTTTCTGATTATCAATTATTAACAATCCTTCAGATTCAACGATTGACGTCAATTCCCATTCAAGTTAAAGGTAATAGGGCTGTTAATTTTTGGCTAATTATTTGTCTTCCACTACATCATTTTATACTACAACAAGAAGTGATTAAAGATTCGCAAAGGTTGACTTCAGTTTCAAATATGTCTTATACTTTGAATATAGTTCCTATAAAGTTTTGAAAGAGCTTTTATGTTTTTTTACAGTGAATGTTTGGCAGTCCAAGCCATTCCTCTTTTGTCGCATCTATATTTTTTCCATTTGTGAAGCTCCCTAGGAGAGACTTCGAACCCACTTTGCCTCTCGTCTTAGCCCTAGGCCCCATTTACTGATGCATTATTTATCTCCACTTATTTAACGCAGCAGCAATTTTCTGGTAGATCCTTTTCTATCCAAAATAAACTGTTACTACTACCTTTGCCCATTAGTTTGGGGGCTTGGGAAGAAGGAGCTAGCATATCTGCTTCTTTTCAGTGACAGTAAATCAAATTGGCATTTTTAGTATTGATCCTAAGCACCTGCTTGATGCTTTATTTGTCTATAGTTCGAATTAGATCATTAACACGTAGCGAGCGATACACAATTTTTATAAGAATATAGTCTATAAGAATACTAAGGCTCAAAATCGCTGAAATCTTAGAATGATATAATGCGAGGCTCAAGCTTCATCAAGAATTGAATTTTTTGTTTATTTGACTTTTTTGGAAAGCAAAAAATTGCGAATTTCACGCTGTTTGTCTTGAAATAGACGTATCTTGCCTTGGAGTCATTAAAACTATAATTCAACCCGGTTATTCCTTATGTCGCTTAAGAATAATTTAGGAATCATCTTAGTCTCAATATTGAAAGAAAATTAAGAATATCATACAGAGGCTAAGGAAAAATTCTTATCAAAATGTGTGTGCGGAACCTTTAATAACCTCCCTTCACTCTCCTTGAAACTCAAAGCTGACAACCACAAGTAATATCCTGATTGATAATTGTATTCAAACCTATTTTTCTGCTATGCATAAACATACATTTTTTTGTCTTTGGAACTCGATATACTTGTCTGTAAATAGGAAGTCTTGGCTCTATTCTTGTTAGGTAATGTGATTGCAGAGGGGAGAAATCATAAAGAAGATAAACTTTTGCTGGCTTGCGATGATGGATCTTTGGTATGTCATAGCTTATGATTTATTTACCAAAAAAGAAAAAGTATAGTATGTATTGGCGAACTAGTTTGTTATATCTATTTTGAAAAGCTTTTGTTTCAAGAACAGTTGGTGGCTGTAGGAGCCTATTTGACATCAAAGTTCCTTTGCACCAAATCTACGTCCCTTGTACTGATGACAAACATAAAAGATCACGAAGATCTAAGTATAAATGATCTGTCAAATATAAAAGATCTGCCTACAGTACAATTTTAGTACGTTAGGGGCATAGAATTTCATAGCAATCCAGTGGTCATTCACAACTCACTCAAAGTCTTTCTAAAATAGATCCCAGGCGAGAAATTCAGAGAAATTGAATGTGATAGGGAATGGAAAAGGTGACTGTACCTCTCATAGTTCTTCATCAACACTGCTGTTTATTACCCAATTTTGTTTATTTGTTTTAATGCGTTACTTGTATTCTAGTTGAATGCGATTTGCTAATTGTGCCAAATTCTATCTAGGTGCTTTACGATGAAGAACGTCAAGTGACACAAACAGCTAGAACAAAATTTGCGGTACTTGATATATGCTGATATTATCTTAATGTTTAAGTATTTGGAGATGGTTCTTGTTATTGAGAAATAATTCAAATTGTTTTGAGATGCAGGTGAAAGGTTTTTTATATGTTTAGCTTATTTAAGTGTGGCGTTGAAGAATTTCTTATGCTAGCTTGTGTTATGTACAGTAATAAGCTTTATAAATTTTAGTCTTCTGTTAATAGGGTACCGAAGGATCAATTTTTTAAATTTCTTAATTTTGACCACAGAATCTAAAAGAACGGCCTAAAAAATTTCTTAATATGCAAAGTAAGCTAGATATATTTAAAAACTGGGCGAGATATGGCCAGTGAAAGACTTCAAGTTTGCTAAAGGATTACTGTTATACTGGTCTGGCTCATAAAGTTATGAAGCTAGACCAATTTACAGAGTTTTGATGGGGCAAGAGCTTGTGCTCATGTGGCCATATCTCCTCCAATTTGTAACCCATTCTACTGATTTCGCATATTTAGAGGTGTTTCACGATGCTCTTTCAGGTTATGGGATCAAAAGTGAAAAATTCAAAAAACATTTTTTTGTGACGTCATCACTTCGGTACTCTATGGGAATGGCAACAGTTTCTTATAGATCGATGACATGTATAATAAGAATTTGATTAATTTACTTAGGAGGTTGAACATTTCTTTCAAAGGTGCGCTGCTTCTCTTGAAGAGCAATGAACGTGTTGCCAGCATCCATTTTTCCTGAAAATTTGCTCATATGACTGTTCCCTTTGCAGGTTTTGCCCTACTAGTCAAACATCGTTACGGCAGGTTTTATTCTAAACCATGTTTGACCATATGGCAGGTTTTATTTTAAGCCTCAGTGATAAGATAACCAATTTATGCAGTGATAATCTGCTGAGAATTGTAGAAAATTTGGCATAGCATCAAATAGTCTGTTAAAAACAAACCCTTGTTGTATTGCAATTCTTTTCATGAATGACAGAGACGACTATTTGTTTGGTCTTTCGTAGGCGCCAAGTCTCATTACATGGCATCCAAATGATGCAGTGGTATTAGTTGCAAATTCAAGAGCTGACATACAGGTAATAAATTTTGAGATAACCAAACTCGATACGATGAGACTAAAGAACAAATTGAATCTCCATTAATCTCAAATATAAAAAGAATTTATTAGCATTATTTGATATGTTTTTATTATCATCGTTAGGTATTCGATCAAGCATTGACACCACTTCCTTTAAACCTTTCGTTTGAACAAGGAAAAATAGAGTCTTATAGTAGACTGGGACAGTTTTTCATGTAAGTTTGCAGTTTTTTTATTTTTGCGTAAATTTGAAGAGAAAATGGTCATATTTAATGCCGAATTCAAAATTGAGAAAGAAATTGTATCTATTTTTATAGCTACTATACGTTGAGTTTACAAGGGATAAAAAGATTCATTGTGCTTGATTTGAGCAACTCCCTTGAAAGAATTGTAGTCGGTTCTGATCCATAAGAAACTACAGCAACGACAACCCGAGTATGAAACCCGGAGTAATTTTAACTTCTAGTAAACTTAATTAACAAGGATTTCTTGCAGTGAAGTTTCTTTGTATAGCTATTAAAAATAGCCTTGAATAACAAATTGTTTGCTTTTGTCCACAGCAACTCCAGTAAGTTGGACAGAGCCAGTTGGGCTTGTGACTTCAGACTTGGTCCACCTCCAGATGCTATTGGTTGCTACGATGACTTGCTTCTTGCCTTTGACAAGTATGTTTTGGCCCACCGTATTTCTCTTTATTGATCGATGTCATCTTTGTTAAAAATTTTCTTAAAAGTTCATTATCGTTTGCAGATTTTATGCATTTGGCTTGCACATTTATTTCCAGCAAACTTTTCTTTGAAAATCTAGTAATTCACTTCATTTAAATTTTCTTTTTGCCCTTTTTTGTTACTTTTTTGTATTAAAAAAGAGTCCACCTATCAAGATGTCGTCTCAGATAGGTTAAAGTCTTTTTTGATGGTTATTTATATCTGCTAGGGGGCCTATTTGCATGATGCGAGTGGAGCTTGGCGTGTTAAGTAATGGAAGACTTGGTCCAGTGGAGATTGTGTCGGAGTATATTCAAAACAAACAAGAATTAGAGGTAGGTCTCGCGGAATTTTTCATTTCATCTTTGTCATTTAAAGTATCCTTTGCAAGTTTTAATGAGTACCGGGACAATGTGCATTTTGACTCGATTTAAAATTTGGTTATGAGTATAATAGGTGCATGATTTTGTTTGAGTACAAATCTTGTGAATTATCTCCAAAGAAGCTTTGGAATCATGTTCTGGTAATGGTGTTATCTGGAGGGGCTAAGAAATTTTGGGGGTGGGTTCAATAAAGCTTTTTAGATACATAAATAGATGAGAACGATTATTTTTGAAAGGGTTTTCCAAATATGATGACTGTTAAGAGTGGATTCATTGAAAAAAGAAAAGGTTAATGACAGATTCATTCGATAAGTGACAAATTGGCTCGATTAAAACTGACGAGAAGCAAGCTTTTCATTGAAAAAAGAAACGGTTAATGACACATTCATTCGATAAGTGACAAACTGGCTCGACTAAAACTGACGAGAAGCAAGCTTTTAAAGAAAGAATGTAAAGTTAGCTTTCTATAAAAATCGAATACACTGTAGCCTATGCTGCTGCATGGTTGCAGAGTCCTAGGTGATGTGTGTATAGAATAGATTTGTTTTGCTTTGAAACATGGCAAAGTCTCTTTCTATTCAGTGAACTGGTTATCTGCAGTTCTATTTAGAGGTGGGTCGCATCTCTCTTCACGTCAAAACCAGGGCAGCCGCGAGGTTTCGGAGGCCCTGGAGCAAAACCGAAAGATGAGGCCCTTTGTGAGCGGAGTGAGCAGATAATTTTTCCGACCATGCTCTTCAGATTAGCTTAAAATGCATTTCAGAAACTTTTTGCAGTCATTTCGTGCAATCTTTCAAAGCATTTCACTATTTATAGGCATTCTTTTGCTACATTTGATTAGTTCCATTTTTAAAATTGAGATCATTACTTTACGAGGCCCCCTAGACCTCGAGGGGCAATTTGCTGGCAGCCCTCTCGGCAGGCCTGGTCAGAAACAGAAATATTATCTCAAGCAGTTGAACCTCTATGCATTGCCACTTGTCTCAATGACTGCAAACGCTTAAAAGAGCTAAGTCAACTGTTCCAAACACAGAGACACGTTTCTCAAATCCTTGTTTACAGCTAAACAATTTTCTTCAATAAATGTGTTTTTTGGATCAGTGAGCAACTTAGACTTCATAGTTGTTGGTATTAGTAAGCTCTGTTTTCACTCAGTGTGTTTGCACCACCAGTTTTCTTTATTTGTTTGACGATGATATAGTGATGCTATATCGTCCGAGTATTCCGAGTACCTTTTCCTTTACACCATCTTTTTAAGCTCTAATTGCAAAATTCCTTATTAATTTCTTACTGGGAGAAAAAGATCTTACATCAACAAATGCATTCCATCAATTAGAATAAAAAAGCTGCCTCAGAAGACGTTGCCGCATCCCTCATCAAATCAGGTCTTGAGGCTACATTCCCTCAACACAGGAAGCAACGTTGGGCCTAGTCTTTCCTAAACGAAAAATAACAAGTACTATGAAAAGAACCCCGTGATGTAAACAGGCCCTAGCCTAACACAATAGAATAAACAAAGATTTACAGAAACACACCATGCTTGATATTAAAAGGGGAGGGAGGGACGGGAGAAGAGAACAGCGTGGAAACAACATACGAAGCAAGCACGATAATCCCAACCCAAAGCAATTAAATACACCAATCTGAGTCAAGGGACCCACAATTTCGTGCAGAAGCCCAAACTACAAAACTCCTTCATCTCTATTATTCCCAATGGCATCAAAGAAGCACATAAGGGCTTAAATACCAAATTGAAGCATGGCCATTGACACCCAAATGAGAATGATACAAATAAGCTAAAATAAGAACCACTAGCAAAATCCAATTCTGCAACATCCTTCGTGAAATTACCTCTGATAAAATTTCATTTGATCAGCATTAAACTGTTTTCTAGTGCCCAAGGCGATTTTTATGTTTTCCTCTTTTATAAAGCCTTTGATCCACTTAAGTTGACAAGCAACAAAAACATCCCTGCAGAACGTGTATAGATTGCCTTGGTTGTAACATATCTAATGTAGTCATCCACATATCTGCTTATGTTTTCTGCAAACAATGTTTCAAAACATAATTGTTAGTTTTTGTAGCTTTTTTAGCTTATCTATATCTGCAAAATGCAATTTTTAGCATATGTATTGGTTTATGTTTTTAGGCGGTGAATTTCTTGAACAGCATGAATTGGAATACAAACGGAGGCTTGTGTTTTGCTTGTTTGACTATAATCATCGACCATTTGTTCCGTCTGCCTTTGGTATTAGACAGAGAGGGTAAAAACAACGTTTCTATTTTTTTGCTTTGCAATATTTGTTTTTCAACTATTAATCTAATTATTAAAACTTGAGGTTCTTAACTTGACAGTATCCTTATCCATTCCGGACAGGGTCTGCTACTTGACACTCTCGACCCATTCTATTGATAGATGTTTTGTTGCATAGTAGATTTTAGGCCTACGCTACTTGAAGACGAAGAGAGTTGGAAGCGATTGAACGTGATGAGAGTGAAAAGCATGGAAAATAGTGTTTATTGAAATCTTATGAGCCGCGCTTTTCTGAATTTTGCTAAAATACAAAGAGCAGAAGAATACTTAGTGCGTAAAGATGCTGTTGCATGTTGTTTCATTTTGTATCAAACACGTAGCAATCTCCAAGGACGCGATCTTCCTTAATTTCTTTGGCTGTTTAGTGAAATTTCAAAGGGGAGAAGAAGTCTTGGATTGAAGATTGAATGTTATAATGCTCTTTGGCCTTAGTGCCATGAATGCATTAGCCATATTAATCCGCATTTATTTGTTTGTGTGTTTCTATTATCAATGGTTTAAGCAAGCTTGTCTGCCACAATCCTTGATTGTTGACTAGAAAATGTGTTATTCCCCTCCCTATTTAGATGCTCTTTTGGTGTTCTTCCGGGAAAGCAGATCCTGCGTTTCAAATTCTTTTATGTTATTGAGTTTTATATTTTTCTTTAGCATTTGCTGAAAATGCTCTTGGAAGTTTTTATGCACCAACAAGAGCTATTTCAGAAGACGTGATGCTGCAATTCCGTGATCCAATCTTTCGTCTGGCTAGACGATTTTTTCATCATCTCCTAAGGTTTGGTCCTTTCTTCTCTAACCAACTTTTTGTCCTTTTTACCTTTAGGCTTAACCAAATTACTACTAGGAAAAATCTATGTAATTCTTTAGCGTAAGTCATCTGAATTTTTTCAAGTAAAAGCAGCCAATATAATTTTTATTGTAATATCGACTTCGTTTATGATCATCACTGTTTTATCTTTATTTGCAAAATTTCTAGGTTTTATCTGGTTATTTGTTTGTATTTAGACATCAGAGGTTTGAGAAAGCATTCCTGTTAGCAGTTGATATTGGTGCCAAAGATCTTTTCATGGTTCGTGAATTTAATTTAAAAGTTAATGTCTAAAGCATTTTGGATGACTGTAGCGCCCTTAAAAGTAACAGGAACCAGGGTTATTGTCAATTTAGAGGGGTATTTGTTGACAAGAGGTTGCTGCTACATAAAAATTCAGCAATGAAAAACAATACTATCAGTCCTGGTAATACCAGGATTGCAAACACATATGCTATTGCCTCTCCACATGACTAGATGTGATTTTTATGGCATGCACCTTTTGACTTGATGTTTTAATATCTGACTGAAATGTTGACTGACTGTTCTTTAGTCTCTAATTCTCTATGTGTTTTTTTACGAATTTTGTCATGAAAAGGAATCTTATCTGTAATTAAGTATTGAATACCTTCAATGTTTTTTCTTGTTATAAAGAATAATAGGGCTCGTAACACAGTGTTAAGAATTGTTGCCCTGAGATCATTCTAATAGAAGACGCTTTGTAATGAGTTCCATATCGTAATATCAAATTCACCGTTTTATAACTCAACTAACTACCAACAGCAAAACATGCGAACATACGTAAACAAGTCTTTGTTACGAAATCTATTGTGTAAAATAAACAATGCAGGTTCACACTTTGTGTAAAAAGATTGTATTCTTAACACAAGTCATAATAATCACACAAATATCACACAAAAATCATAATAATAAGAGGTATAATCATTTTCTAGTGACCCTTGCCAGTATAAAGAGATATTAAAGCCCCTTTTGTAATTTTATGGGAATTTAGCCATTCTGATGTCTTTCTGATGCGCAAAGAGCTTCCCTGAATCACCAATGAATGAATTGCATAAACTATGTTTTAAAAAGGGCTTGCTAAGAGATATCCAAAGAAATACATTCATTCAGTATTATCAACAGTATTTTGCTTTTAAATTTTGCAGGACATACATTACCTTGCTTTAGATATGGGTAATGAGCCATTAGCTGAATCTGCTAAACAAAGAGCAATGCACCTTCACCATGAAGATCTCAACTCAGGTAAAGTTGGGAAAACATTTATATAAGATTTAAAGATAGGACAGAAGCAGAAACAGTGTGTGCTAGTACTTTTTGTTGTATGCCCCTCAAAGTAACAATGTTGGATAATGACAAAAGAAAGCAGAAATTTATATCCATTTGTGGAATGAAAATAATGTGATAACAAGAATGGCACATTTGATTGGTTCTTTGTTTTTGACCAACCATTGGCTGCTAACCTCTTCTTTATTTAAAGATTCTAGCAAAGATTTTTCTGTTTGCACAGTTCAGATCCTTTGCTTTGACCCAGACAGATTCCAAAATACAAAAGTTTCTTGCCCAATGATTTTAGGATTGTCATCACTTTACACTTATGCGGAATTTTGAGTAAAAGTTGTCCTTTAGCCAAGATGTCATTAACTATATTATTGTAGTATTCAAAATATATAGTTTTTTCATATGAAATTATGTTCAATATAGCCTGTTTATTTTAGTATAACTAGTTTTTTCTTTAGTTTTCATTTGCTCACTGAATCTTATATTTTACCATACATTTTAGTTGTCACTGTGTTGCATTGTGAAAATGTATCTTCTTATTTCTTCTTATTACAGATAGGGTATTTTAAAATATTTAAGCACCTATTGCTAGCTATTGAAAAAGCAGAACTGCATTAAGTTTCAGTAACAGCAATATTTTGTAACTTAATTTTGTACTATTTCATAATAGCAAAAAAGAGGAATTGACACACATATTAGTGTTGTATGGTGCTATCATTTACATTTGATCCAATTTCAAACATGAAATCTCTTAGATGAAATTTTGGATGGAGAAAACTATGCATCAGGTGATGAAGCTGATTTCCAAGCAATGCAACAAATTGGTTATAGAAATGACCATGGCTCTCATATGCCAAGCTTCCTCTATGAGCCAATGACAGGGAATGAATTAAAATTCAGAGAGCAACAACTGAATTCAAATCAGACGTCTTTAAATATTGAACAGGGTCACACAAGAGATGCAGGTGGAAATTCAGAACTGAGAATCAACACAACAAGAAAGCATGACAGAAAATATGGAATGACCTTGCCATCCAGGAATGAAGTTGAAATGACTGAACCAAAACAAGCAGAGCCAAGGGACAAGATGGCTAGAAAATTATCAAGCTCCTTGGCAGGTTTGTCACAAACCTTTTCCACAGATGTATTATAAATAAAATAGCTGACTTAGTTCTTATTAGAAATAAGCCATAGTTTTTATTCTGGATATCTCACATTGAAAAAGACTGAAAAAGTTCTTTGCATTAGCCCTTAAGGACAAATTTGCATAAAAAATTTTTACATGGACGTTTGATGGCTTATTTGAGGGTGGGGGCTGATTTGTGTGTTTACAGGTAAATAAACTTGATTTTATCCATAATAATTATCAGTTTATTGATTTTCTGTCTGAAATCCTACAAGCATGAATGGTATAGCATTATTGGACAAGAGAGCTCAACATTTGTTGATAATTGTGCATTCTGTATATCTAAACAAATAAATGCATGCTTCAGCTAGGTGTTTTAAAGTGAAGTGAATTTGGATCCCATAACCTGAAAGAGCAGCAAAAAATAATTCTAAATATGCTAAATCAGTTGAATGCATTACAAATTGGCTGAGATATGGCCACATGAGCACAGGCTGATTCCCCAACAAACCTCTTTAATTTGGTCTCTGTTCATAATCAACAGTAATCTGTTAGCAAACTCTAAATCTTTTATTGGCCATATCTCACCCAATTGTTGACAAGTTTAACTGACTCTGCATATTATAGGTATTTTGTGGTGTTCTTTTAGGTTATGTGGTCAAGTAAAAAAAAATCTAAAAATGGATTTTTTTATGATTTCACATTTAAAGAGGTCTATTCTGCTGAGGCCATGTTAAATACAGTCAATATACAAAGCAGATTTTTGTTATCTAGCATACTGTTTCAACCTACCATGGTTTGTTTCTACCTACAATGGTAGCTACCTTCCATTGCTTTCACTCAAGATAAATTTGAATAGATTCAGTTATTGTTTGTTTTCCTTAGATATTGCTATAAAGAACTTACTAACTATTTAATTAGATGTAGGGTGACCGGCAGATAAAAAACATGGCTTATCAGTCAGAGCTTTCTCACTCTGTAATTTTTATCTTGTATTTATATTTATAAATATGTTTTTAATTTAAACAGCAAATTCAAGAAACCAGAAAAAGAAAGACAGTACTGATCAAACAAAAACTAAAGAAGAAAAAAGCAGTAAATATGAAATTATAAATTTTGGATATGTATAAAGTTTAGTTTTTTACTTTGTATATAGATGTATTCTATTTCAAAGCAGTGGGGAGTGACCTTGTTTTAAAAATGTTATATACAAATAGTGATAACAAGCAAGTATTTTTTATATATATATACAGATATCTTTGCCACCATGATGAAATAGCCATAAATATTTTCAGCAGTTGTTAAACTAAGACTTACAAAATAAAACCATTGTTTTACTTGATTCTTAGTTCAATCTATTGTTCAGAAATTAACTGTTAGCCATCTAGAATACACAAGAGTTTGTGGTTAAACAAATGGCTTGCAGATGTGTTCAAATGTAAGTCCCTGTGACAATTTAGTGCACAGTAACCTGAGAAGAGACAGTTGGAGTTGTAGGTGTACCAGGAGTCTTTGCATTTCCCAGGAGACCTTGTCTTATTTGCTGAACTCTTCTAAAGATTGAGTTACCAAGCAGAACACCAAAGTCACTCTGATATTGATCAAGTACATCTGGCAGAGCCCTGGCCCGCACAGCTATGAGTGAACAATGCTTCACTAACAGATTTTGCAGGTGTTCAGCTGAGCTCTTCTCTATTGGGGAATTTGACTCTAATGCTTCTGTGATGGCCTTGTTTTCTGTTTTCAACCTTGGTAGCACCAACACTTTCACCACCTGATTATAGAAAATTTACAGATGATTTTTTTCTCTTTCAAATTGTAAGATAATGCATATGGTCAAAGTGACTTGAAAGACAAAAAAAATGACACCACAATAATATAATAGCAAGTGATAGAAGATTAAAAGACCAGTTTTAATTATTTGTATAATATTAAGTTGACTTAATGGCGAAAAGCCAAGACTGCACCACAGGAAGAAAGGGATTTGGGAGTCTCGGCAGGGTCAATTTGTTAATGCATTTAAATGAAAAGAGAAAACTTTAGGGAAAGATAATTGTTTGGCAAGTATGACATGTTCTATAATTTTGCAACTATGTTGACCAAAATAGTCACAAGAGTTACCTATGGGTGAAAAAGCATTTACTAACAGTAAAAATGCCATTGCTTGAAAATTATTATTTATTCCCATCCCAAAAAGAGAATTCCATTAGATATCTTTCAGGAATGTTTAACTTTCTCATTTAAGTATATTTTTTCAAGGGTCTTACCATGGCACCATTATTGTGCTGTTTCTTTGGTAGATATCATGGAAAATGGTTAATAGCAATCCCAGTGCATATATTATAAACTTTATTGGAAAGCACAAATAAGATAATTTAAATGTTGTATTTACCTCTAATCCCAGTTCTGCTAGGCCAGCCACTGCACCATAGTGTGTAGCTAAGGCAGCTTTATCATTATACAATGCCTTACAAAGTGTTTTGGTGATTCTGGACTGTATGTTGTTTGTTGGGCAACTAAAAGTTCTACATAACTGAGCCATTAACCTTGCAGCAAAGTCTCTCAGTGCCCAATGATTATCTACTTCTGGCTTAGGACAAAGTTGCTTGCTAACAATGCATGTTATTATCGATGGAACTAGCTCATGCAAGTATTTTTCAAGATAAAGGGTTGGGTTTTCCATTAGGGCTTTTATCATCCTCAGAAGGTATATCAACAATGCTAAGTTGTGTTGTGCTACATTGATTTTGACTCCTTCAGAGATAAAAGTTGCAAATCTTGGCAACAGCTGATAAAGTCCAGGGTCAGAAGCTAAACTCTGCAAGGCTTCTGTACGCTTTTGCTCGACAGAGCCAACACATGCTTCAGTGATTTCTTTGTAGTACAGCTGTTGTTCAACTGATAGTTCATGGGTAACAAGAGGCTTAAACTTAGTATCAATGTGCTTGACTGGTGAATCTCTATTTTTCTTGTCATCGTTATCTCTATTTGAACTCTTGCTTTCTTGCTTTCCACTTTTTGTTTCCTTTTCTTCACTTGATCAGTTTTAGCTTCATTGCTCATTTTGTGCAAATCAATTTCATTCACACAGGATTCTGCACTTGATGGTTGTAGAATTTCTTTCAATTGCTTATCCTTGTTTATTGGTGGAGGATTCTCTGGAATGTTTGGTTGGGCTCCATCTATAGCAAGCCAGTGGGCTTTTATGTTTACTGGACAAGGGATTTTTGGTAATGGTTGATTCAACAGCTCTTCCAAATCAACCTCAGACTCTTCATGAAAATAAACCTCTCTGCCTCCACCGCTTGCAAAACGAAATGGCACAAAGTCTCGAGTTGTGAACCCATATAATGGTTCTACATTTTGTCGTTTCAAAGCATGATCAAGATCTTGTGTAAGCAACATCTTTCTTTTTGAATTCTGGACGAATTTTAATGATTCCTGCACCAGTTCTTTAAGTCTAAAAGTGAGCTCTTCTGCAATATAGTTGGCAGCATTGTCATTTAGTTTCTCAATTCCAATGCTATCAGCAGCAAATTTTACACTCTCTTTTGTCGCTTGCGGGTCCACTTCTTCGATACTTGAGCTAGGATCACCTTGACTCCCGACTTGCTGGGCAGCCATCTTTTAATTCTCGAAAGAACATTCCTCTCCTTCGCAGTTAAGCTCAAGGCTGCTGCGTTACCATAAAATGTTGTTTTGTTCGAAATGTTGGTGAAGAATAACACCAAATCTTGTTATTTCTGTAGGGAATATTTTACCGCTTTCTAGAAGTGTATTTTAGAATAAGACAAATTTTCATTGAAACATTGTCAAAACAGTTCTTGTTGGAAACATTGTCATGTTTTAAGTTGGAAGCAATCATGAAGCGATTCAGCAGATATTGCATTGTGGTCATTGACTGCAAACTCAATAACAAATTTTTCAGCATTTCAGCACGTCAATGTATAGTTGCTTCAGGACCGTCGGAAGCGGGGGCTGGCCGGGGCTGGGGGGTCTAGAGTTCCAAAGCACATAAGAGTAAGGACCAATGGCGGCGCCAGTCACTAAGCTCTGGGGGGGAGACAAACCAAAAAAAATTTATCCACGCCCTTTTAACCACCAGAAAACGCCTTTTTATCCGAAGGGAACGCCTATGAAATTGGCAGTTTGAAACTGGCCTGTTTTAAGGGGCACCCTAACAAAGATTCCAGAAAGGTTAAAGAGGCCAAAAAGGCTCTTGGTTGCGAACAGTGCCACCGAAACGTTTCGGAGGTCCTGTGTCGTAAAGCCTGATTTACACGAGACGAATTTTTTCGTGCGACCCCCCCCCCCCCAATATTTTGGTGTCTTTCGTTAAACATTGTTTCATTCGGTAAAATCATTTGTTGGTAGTGAGTAGTAACAAAGTAGCACCAAGATTTTGCTTTATTTGTTTTCTTATCGGCATTTACCTTCTTGTCAGTAGTGAGCGAGGTCGGGGGAGGAATATTCTGACATGTATTTTAAGCTAATTTCAAGAACGTCATCGCAAAAATTTTCTGTGACACTCATCTACATCTCTACACAATGTTCAACATGTTCCCCTTCATTTTGGGATTTATAATGAAAAGTCCTTCACGTTCTTGAGACATTCCCAATAAAATAGAAACTAAAATGCTAAAGCAATGCAATCCTTAAAAAACTGGATTCTGAAATGCTTCTCGTGGATTTTACTCCAAGGAGAACGGACTTGGTTTAAAATTTTCGAATACTGTTTACTATTTTTAGATATTTGCTAACAACTTTGGAAAGTCACATTTTACACGTAGTTCTTCCTTGCCTTACACAATTCAGGATATAAATGTTAGTGGAATGGTGAAGGAAATAGACAGTTGTAGAATATGGTCAGCCACAAAACGCTACATATGACATTGTATGAAGGGAAATTACCACGTAAAAATGCCATAGCTTTTCAAAACGCATTTTCAAGATGGGTGTTTGTTTTCCCAAATTGTTAGGGGTCTGGTCAGCAAAATTTAGTGTCTAACACCCCCCAATCATTGTTGCTTAAATCCGCCCCTGCCCCCGCCCCGGTCATTGCTGCGAGTTTGTAGTTTTTATTTAATTTCTAGAATCAGGTAGCATGGACAAATGTTAGATCATTGGCTCCAAAACATCACCCTCTGCTCTCTTTGCTCATTTCATATAGCACTTAACCATTTCAAGAGCCCTTTTTGGTTTTACAGTTGGCAACAGGGACGCCGGAATTACCAAGGGGCAAGGGGTGCAGGCTTGAATGAGGGCATTTGAAAGAACAAAACCACGCTATAACCCCCTGGGGGGCACTCGTACTCTGTGCCCCCGGTTCCTAAATCCATGCATAAGAAAGGGAGAAACGGAGAACCATCGGGCGAGAACATTATGGAGGCCTGGAGGGATGGAGAGGAAAGTTCCCAACGGGAAACTACCCATCCCCCTCATGCAGCCGGCATTATGCTAAATGTATGTAATAAACGGTGTTTGGATGAAGGTCATGCCCGCCCCCCTCATTTTTTGCCAACCAAAGAGCTTTTATGCGAGTCTTTGAATTTGCTCTTGGCCCCTCTACTTTCCAAATTGTAGTAGGCTTCTTTACCATACTTTGGGGGCCTTATTCGAAACATTGCGGCATCTGGTTTTTCCGATGTGTGAAATCCGGAACAAAAGTAGTGGCTTGTGCACCAGTTGCTCTTCCGGATTCACGCAGTTTCCGGTCTCTCTGAGGGAGGTTACGCATTAGGTTGCCGAAATGGCGGCGCACGATCGGCACAAATCCGTCGGTGGAAAAGCAATAATGGGTTACTATTCACGAGATACATGTTAATTAGCCGAAATTAAACGTCTGATAGTAATTTTCGAAAAATATTCCTGCTGTGGTTGATTCAAAAGAAGTTTTCCATGTGAAACATGGACTTGTATTGTGGCCTAGCTGCTTTCTGATGACTGGAAATTTTCGGATCAACAATAACTTCAATCAGGAAGATGGTTAGATCTGGCTTTGGATAAGAAAGCTTGGTGCTATTAAGTGTCTACACGGTTGGCAAGTTGCATAGTTTCGCACTATGAAAGTTAAAGAATTGTCAACGATGTGCATATGTCCAAATAATAATCGAGCCTCTCGTATTGCTTTCAAAGCAATGGTTGCCTTTTTCATTATTTTTGGTCTTATGTTTATTTTGTTAGTTCATAGTATACTGAATCAAATTCCTAGTGGGGGAAGAACATCACAATGGAATACAGCACATCCTGTGGAAGAGATTTGGATGGGGGAAACTGAAAAATTAACAAGTACTGGTGTGAGTGAGACTCTCTCTACTTTAAAAAGTGAAATATTTGAACTTCAAAAGATAAAGGTTGCTGCTTTAAATGACCTGCGAGATCTTGAAGGAAAGAGATATTTGTACCAAGATGCTGTTAAGAAATTAGCTGCAAGTAAACTGGATCTTTTGAATGAAATAAAAAGGTCAGAACGTGGGTTGAATAAGTTGAAAAATGAACTTCGTGCACTACAATCAGCTGTAGAATCAAAAAAATACCATGTCAACATTCCAGTTGGTAAGCCAAAGCAACTTAGGCCCTCTGGGGATATAATTGAGCACAATAAACAGTCTTTGAGCCAGTCAAAATGCAACTGTAAATTTTCAAGTTGCTTTGACTATTCACAATGTTCCTTGCTAGAACCATTTTCAGTGTATGTGTATAAGCCTTCTCCCATGTTGAAGCTGCCAGTTGATTATAAAAGAATGATGGATGTATATCAAGATGTTTTGAAGTTTTCTCATGTGACCACAAATCCAAAGCAAGCATGCATTTTTGTGGATATTGTAATACTAGATGTTGAAACAAGTATGAAATATGAAAAAGGTGTACTTTTGAGACATTTCAGTAGCCTTTCAAGGTGGGAAAGTGATGGAAGAAATCATTTGATTATGTTTTTATCAAAGCAACCGGAAGATGAAAGCTGCAAATATGTGGCAGAAATGGCAAATACTAAATCAATTATTGCTTCATCTATATATTGTAAAGAATCATTTAGGGAACAATTTGATGTGTTACTATACCCTGACGATTTGATATTTGTTCAGGGGCATGGTCAATCAATGTTGCCTAAGTTGTTCCCTATCAGGAGAAAGTACTTGTTTACATTTGTTGAGAAATCATATGGGCCTATTGTATCAAATTCTGATTTGATCGCACTGAGAGGAAATTATGTGAATATATATATAAAGGCTGGTTGTAAGAGAAAAGAATCAGGTTTACTAGAAGAGTTTACAGCTCTCTGCCAAGATGCAGAAGATATTGAGAGAGTTTTACAACAATCTACTTTTAACATCATATACACTGCAATCAAGTCACAAGATCAAGGGTATTTTCTTAGAGACATAATTACATCATTAGTAAATGGAGCTATTCCTGTAGTAATAGGAAAGTCATTTGTTCTTCCTTTTTCAGAATTCATTGATTACCGAAAATTCATTATTTTTATTACTGGAGCAAGAGTACCTGAGACACACTATATTTTAAGAATGGTGACAAAATCAAATGTGTTTGGTATGAGAAAACATGGAAGATTCATTTATGAAACATATTTTGCCTCCTTAAAAATGAATCTCATGACAATTTTCAGCAGCATTCAAAGTAAAGCTGGCTTACCACCATTACCTTTGGAAGATTACAAGTCAATTCCTTTATTTACTAATTCATCACCATTGTCATTCAAAAATGAACGAGAAAGCAGTATCATAATGTCTAGCCCATATGATAGCAACTGGACAACCACAAACGTTAATAGTCATGACCTATGGAACAATTACCCAGGGGCCCACTACCTATTGAAGTTTGTCCCAAGAAATACTGTACTGCCTCCATCTGTGCAGTTTTTTGAAGATGTCACAGATTACATGCCAATTGGTAATGGAGAAGGTGGAGATGGAAAAGCTTTTAAGAATTCACTTGGAGGTGACAGTTCAGTGGAGCATTTTACAGTGGTTATTCTTACATATGACAGAGAGTTAATCTTAGTAGAATCACTGCAACGACTTTCAAATCTCAAGTATTTGAACAGAGTGATAGTCATATGGAACAACCCTATAATGCCATCAAAAGAGTTGGAGTGGCCCGAAATTGGTGTCCCTATACATGTAAGTAATAATCTATTCTCTTTCAGACTTCCAACGGAACAAATCTTTGTATTTGTAAGAGTGAATTCTTTTTTTATTTTCTTATTTAGTGAATTCTTTACCTGAGACAATTACATTCGAATATATGATCAATCATTTTCATCAATATCATCATTGTCAACAAAAAAATTATTGTCATCTTCTTAACTGTCATTGCTTAATTTAAGCCACAAGTTGTGTAACTCAAAGCAGAGGTATGGTTTTATTTTTGCTAATTGGGAGTATCATACACTAAGTTTATTTAATGTTTAGAAAGAATAAATCAAAAGTCTTAATGAGGTAGTTCCAAACAGGTTGGTTATAAACAAATTATTTTAAATTAGGCCTAATCAGCAGGAATTTTTAAGCTGTTGCACATGAAATAGATTTTTTTGCCCGACAACAGAGATTTTATACGCTATGTAGAAAGTTCCCCCATGAAAAGCACAGTTTTTATTATAATTTTGACTCTTTCTTTGCCATTTTGCCAGAAACTGTGACATTTGTGACCCAAAAACTAATTATGATTAGTGCTAGTATAAAACATGTCTTTGCTTTGTACACAATGCATAATTTTTATTATTGGCCTCAAAGATTAAATGTTGTTATCAATAACCAAAATTGTAAATGTAACACCCTGTATACTAGGGAATTTAATCACTTGTGATAAAATCTTGCTTGTTTATGACTAAGAATCTGTTGTGTGCACTAGGCTTTAGTTATATGATATATAAAAGGTAATACGTTTTAAAAAAAGCCCTGTTTGCTTTCCAGGTTGTTAAAGGGGAGAAGAATAGCTTAAACAACAGATTCCTTCCATTTGATCTTATTGATACTGAAGCAGTTTTGTCAATGGATGATGACATCTACTTGAGAGATGATGAAATCGAGCTTGCTTTCAGGTTCTGCAGTTTTATATTTTCTTTTTTATTTTAGGTACTGCATGTTGTTTTTCATTTTGTTTGTCATATGTGTCATTTTGATTGTCTTTTCTACACCAAATTAGACATCTTGTAAGGATGTTTCATGGAAATTGACTTTTCCAGCCCTATCAAATCTGATATTTTTGGATCCATACAAAGTAACTTTTTATACTTCTACCTGTGGTTTGAAAATGGTTTCAAGAAATTTTAATTGATTTTATTGTTTTTTTTTACATATTCTTCAGCTGCAATAATATACTGTTTTTTAACTTTTGATTCTTCCAATTTCTTTTTCTGATATGTTTTTAAACCCTTCTCTTTGTCTCTTATCTTGTCTCTGTTCTTATGCTTCTTTCTCCTATTGCCTCCTTGTCCTTCTCCACTTCCCCTTGTCCTTCTTTATTTCTTTTCTTTGCAATTCTGTCTTCTTTTAGCTTCTTCTCATTTTTCACTTTAGATGAAAAACCTTTCATTGTTTTTACGTATACTTTGAATCTGATATTTTTTAGATACAGTTAGCAACTTATGATAACTTTAGTTACTCTTCTCCTATCACATTTTAGAATTTGGAGAGAAAACAGGGACCGGATAGTTGGGTTCCCCGGTAGATTTCATTCATGGAATCCACAAGGAGGATGGTCATACAATGCAAACCATTCCTGTGAATTGTCAATGGTTTTGACTGGTGGAGCTTTCTTTCATAAGGTAGATTAAAAGCCTGAAGCATCTACTCATTCTAACTAGATTCAGAAAGCTGGATTTACATTTTAATGTTTCATCAGTTGCTCTAAAGTATTAGCTCTAAAGCTGGGAGGTGCTCCTTTAACCTAGTTCATTTACCCACCAAAATAAAACTGTAATCACAAGAAAAACACACAAGTAAGCCATTCTTGGGTGATAGTATGAAAGAAGGAGGGGAGGGGTTTCAAGCTTTGGTGATGTCACCTTGGTGAAATTGAGCTATTTTGCATAAGTTCTGTATAAATTCATGTAGTTATTTTCCAAAAAAAGATTTTAAACAAAGTATCACACTAAGTTCCAGCTGAAAATGAAGGATCATAGAAAAAGCATCCGAAACCCTCATCAAAATCGCTTTATCACACCTTACCACTTCCACGTTATCACAGTATCTGAAGCGTCTGCCCCGAAAAACCACGAGATTGCCCCAGTCTTTAATCTTATTGAAATATTGCAAGAAAATGCTTTTGTTAATGATTGCATAAAATTCTGTATAACCTGAGAAAAATTACGTTTAGCTTTTTTGCTGTCTAATTTCATATCCTAATTTAGGGGGCTCAGCAAGCTGGTAACACGGTGGTGAAATTAGGGAAGAGAGTATCAAAATTTTGATGTATTTTATGTGTCTTCGTTTATGTATGACCTCTCAACAGCGTAAGCATAGCTGAATAATTCCGAGGCCAGTAGACCAGAGAATCTCTCTCAGATTTGATAGAGATGTATTCAAATCTATTCCTCAGATTTATAATTCATCCCTCACTAGTTACTATTTTCCAGAAATTTTGAACGATTCCGTGGTGGCCGTGATTTTAAGGAAGGTGCAAGGGAGGGCATGAGTCACTGCAAGGCTGTATCTGTTTATCTCCATCTTTGCAAGACATAGTTTGCAATCAACTGAATAACTTTTTCAAAGAATCAACATGCGTTTCTTTAGCTATTAAATGATAGATGTAAGTGAGAAGAGTTCATAAATTGCCTAACAGCGTTGATTCTCAAAAGGTCAATATGAAGAGACACTTTTCAATCTAAAGAAGCCTTCGATAGGGTGAATAAAAAAGTACTGCATAAAACCTGCCAGATATAGTGTTTAGAAATGAGTGGACACAATTTGGTAAACTCAGTTGTTAAATCTTCTCAGAGGGAGTCTAGCCCCCTTCATTTCGTCATATTCCTTGATGACTTTGAAGAATGAAATTTTCTTCATCGAGGATGTATGCTGATGATTTGAGCAGAACAGTAGTCCCTATGATATTAGCGAACTCATCCAGATGACGAAGGAACTAAAAAACATTTCTTTGTGAATGATAGTTAGAACATTAAGCCCTAACCCCAAAAAATTATACTAATTGGGCATTCAATTAGAATAAACAAACTGAAAATTAAATAGGTTAAAGGAATTATTGACACGAAAATAAAGAAAGTAAAAGTATGTGAGTCACTAAAGGTTTCTGTGGACTCTTCATTAGAAAGAGTGCTTCAAATCTTTCGTTTGTGTAGTAATAAGGGTTATATCTGCCTCGAAAAAAACTTAAAAATCGAATTTAAGCCATGCGAGGTTTACCATGCACTGGTTGAATTTCCCCTATGCTAAGTGGACCTGGTCCGGCCTAGTCAAGATGAAGCTGCAATTCTTACCAACAATTTTTGATACACCGCAACATTCACTTTCAAAAGGTGGCAGCCTCAGGATTCAACCACGTCAAATTATCAACGCTGTCCCTAATGCTTCTCCTTTTTCTCCATACAATGCTGATTCAATTACAAGAAGCTTTCTCCATTCAATGCTGATTCCTTTACAAGTTTATGCGTCCAATCCTAGATAGATTGCCACCGACAATCTATCTATAACCTTGTAAACGACGTGCAATATTGATTTTGAGCAACAACCTTGTAAAGGGGGAGAGAAAGCAACTTTAAAATGCTGTGAAGATTTTGTATAGGTGTTCCAACCAGTTGTGCAAGTCAGCGTCAAGAGAAGCAGCACTCGGTATCAATTGCATTGAATTGAAATTCTCTTTTTTCTTTGACAGTATTATTCATACTTATACACATACCTGATGCCAGAAACAATACGTGATATGGTGGATGAGTATATGAATTGTGAAGACATTGCTATGAATTTTCTTGTCGCTCATGTTACTGGGAGACCTCCTGTTAAGGTAAAAACCTCGATATAAACACATTATGATATGTTTTCATAGCATTTTGATATGGAAGAGAAATATTTCCTTTCAATATTTGTTAAATAATAACATTGCGATTTCCATATAATTATTGTAATGATAATCATTTTTCATGTGAAATTTTGTTTTTTCGGGTCTTTAATAATACGTTACTGGTATGCCTTAAAATTCGATATCTCTGCATGTTTGTGTTGTTATTATTGTTGTTATTAGAAAAATAGCAATAAGATCATATGTATCTTAATGAAATCAGTATTCATAGACCGTGTCATAGACAATCTTGGAGTATCAACTTCTCAATTTTTATTAGAGTTTTGATTATCAACCTTTTTTCTTTTTCGACGTAGGTGACGTCAAGATGGACATTTCGTTGCCCTGGTTGTCCTAGTTCTTTATCCAACGACAATACACATTACACTGAACGCGCTAAATGCTTACAGTTATTACGAAATATATATGGATATATGCCGCTGCGACGGACGCAGTTTAGGGCCGACTCTGTCCTATTCAAGACGAGGCTGGCAGCCACTGAAAAGAAATGTTACCAGTTTGTCTAATTATTTGCATGTTTACAGAATGAGTCTAGATTTCAACTGGCCTGGGAATCGCGTCCTACTTCGCGTTTTTCAATCAGAACAGTTCGTAGATGTGTCCGTGTACATGATACAAGGTGAAGAAACATCCTATTTTTATAAATTGACTTGTCTACGTACGCATCTACGTAGTGTATGTCTAGGCTAATGCATTGGTTCTAAATTACTAATACTGGTACTGCTTTTCATTGAATGTGGGATATTTAAGATATAGGTTTGCTGCCAACTAATGGCTGTTACAAATCGAAGAAGCCAGACAGGCAGCATTTACGCAGAGTCGTCTCCAAATAGATTTGTTCAGGTGAATCAACAAACATTTTCTTCCAGCCTAACCCTTTTTTGAGATTTTCTTCTTGTACTGGCGTATAAGTATCAAACTGCCCTGCTATTATTTAAAAGTTCTTCGCTGCAAATTCAAACACAAACAAACATCCCTTTAGTGGCATATGTAACTCAAGGTGCGATGCAAGTGTTAAGGACATAGTTCATGTCACTTTTCAGATCTAATATGTATTTAGGTATTATATAATATATCCATGCAGTATCCCATGATGTTGCAAACTTTTTGAAAAAAACTAGATTTTTGTTACTGAATTTTATTTATATTAAATCCAGCATGTTCATACGAGTGTCTTCCCATACCTGACCTGAAGTTTCGTCTTCCTTTCACTGCATCTGTTAACAATTCCCAATTTGTTATGACTTCATGCAAAATAGACTTGGTCAACCACCTCAAGTAGGTAGACATGCTGAACTACGTTCAGAAGTTGCTAACCAAGTTAATTTTAAGAGTTATAAGGTCAAGACAAATAAAAAACGAATGAAGTTTACGAATCACATCTTTTATCTTATTTTCTTCGTTTCTACACGACGATTACATCTCGCTAATTTCTTGGAAGAGGGGAGGGATCGTCAAAAAGGACATAAAGAACCCAAGGTTGTAAGAAAATATTCGCTATTTCATTACATCATAACAATTTATTAAAAAAACATGAGAAACAGCATATGGGTCCGTAGACCTGCCAACCTGCCAACCTAAAAGGTCCCTTGTTCAGGTGATATCTGAAAAGAAGCCCTCATGATCAAAACGAATGTTTACATTTTAAAACGTGGAATGGTAATGAAGCACAAGTTGCAGATTTCTGGTTTTGAAACTGCTTCAAACGAGAAATTCTCCAAGCAAAACTGGGGGAGCGGGCAGGTCTACAATCCCGAACTGCTTTGGGGGGGGGGTGAGGACATTTATAATGCAGGCAAGTTACCTGATATGTATCTGCAGATTTCTGGTTCTGAAACATCTTCAAACGGGAAATTCTCCAAGCAAAACTGGGAGAGCTGGCGGGTCTACAATAACGGTCTACAATAACGGATCTACAATAATGTATTTAGGTGTCTCAATAGCTGTGCCAAGTACTATTTTCTGAAGTTACAGGTTTGATTTATGCTAAATAACTTATCACGTCTACTTAAGGATGTAAAAGTTCTCACTTTGTGGTCGAGATTTAGTCCCGTTCACACGACAATACTTTACAGGGAATAATTCGCAAGACTCAATGCTTCAATTCTGGGTGCTTTTTCTACACAGACGCAAACCCGTCAAGTGACAACCCAAAGCATTTAGCGATTGTTGTTTTATACATGTTTCTGGCTGAGCATAAGTAAACGTTGTATCGGATTAGCTGTCAAAAGCTGCTTGCTCGAACCCTCTATCCTCTTATTATACCGAAAGCAATATACCAACTACAAAGACATCGAAGGGATTCTATGATAGCATAAACTATGTATGTACAAAAGAGTTATCATTTTATTTGATATAACGAACAACCATTTCCGGTGATTAAAACAGTTAAAAGCAGAATAAGGAATTTTTTTATGCATTTTCCATGGGTAAAATCAAATTAAGTTATGAGGTTGCCAGATAAGACCAGGCAGGTAACCAATATTTGAACGGATAGGATTTAAAACGTTCCTTGGGTACAGGGGCGGCGGAGTGAATCTTGAAGGGGGGGACGAGTTTTGTAGCTATAACGAAATAAGAAAATTTGACGACAAGTAAAGGGGCAAAGCCCCCCCCCCCCCCCCCCCACTGGCTCCGCCGCCCAAAGGGTAACTGCATTTGTTAAATTGTTATGCCTCGATTTAAACACTTGCTTTGATTGAACCTGTCTAACAATCCTGGTTTGAACAAACATTAAACGTTGCAAGGAAAATCGGATATGATATATGTGTAAATTCGTAGTCAGTTTTCCAGCTCCCGCCATTTTGCAAAGAAACTTTGCCCCAGGCTCCTTGCCCTGGCGGGAAACCATTTAACCTGGAATCTGACGACATTTTCACGTGGGGAATGAAAACAATATCAGCAGCAATGTGGGAAATATCGATGTGGCCATGTTCTTCCTGCTTCTTATTGATGTGATAAATTGCCTCGAAAGCAACTCTAGATGACAGAAGAGCTGCTACTCCGAGAAATTTTTTGGGCCGAGGGAAAGCTTGGTTGAGGTAGGTTCTACATATGCAATGATATTGTTCAAGTACATTTCTTGTTCCCAAAGAAGTTTACTTTCGAAAAGAATATGCCTATCAACACTGTTAACGGCTAAATCTGCGAAAATTTTGTCATATTTTTGGTCTTTATAAGACGCTGGGGATGGTAGACGCCAATTATAGCTAGCCAGTAAAATTTAACTTGATTTACACCTAACACTACGTGTTCACAAAATATGACACGTAACACAATGAAACTGAATTTGTTCTTTCGCTGCAGCCTAAAGCACCAAGCTTGCAAGGCCTTTCCTAAAATCTGACTTGCAAATAAGTTAGCTACTAACTGAATTTGACAAAATTTGGACATGGTATCAAAATGGTGAATTAAACGAATGCGTTGAAGTTGTTCAATCTGATAGTTTAAAGCCTTTGATAAAGCTTAAAACCTAAGAAATACGTTTTTGACTAAGAAGCTAAATACATCTGCAAAGTGAACGTTGCTGTGTCTTTGTTGGAAAAATAGTTCGACTTTAAAATCCCTTCGCATAGGCAATAACAAAACTTTAATACAACTCTAAAACTACAATGTTCTAAGAATTAAGGCAAATTTTAAAGGCTGTTTCGAGTTTCTCGAGATAATTGCACAATATTTTACATAATCTTTCATCTTCTGAGGTAACCTACTTCCCAAAACGTACACAAGCTTTCTTCCATCTGCACTGAGTGCACCATAGGTTACGATTGTCCATTCCATAAACTTTACGACACTTCCTCGCTGTTTCGAGCCCAGCGTAGCCAGCCTTTTCTCTGGAAGACCGAATCCGTCCTTTGCTTTTTCCAATTTTTGTTCTAATCAAATGAACAAATAAAACAAAGCGGCATTTAAAAATTTCTGTCGCTGTATACATTTCCTTGGAGTGGAAAAGGTATTTCTGGGAAATGCGAAGAAAATGAGTAATTCGTTGTGAAATATGAACACGTTATCGAGAGAGAGACGTGAACCCTTCCAAAAGGATAAAAAGATGCACGTAGTCCTGAAATCAGGACAGAAGATCAGACAAAAAACCGGGTTGAAGCTTAGTTTTAGGCACTAGACGCATTTCCTCAACAAAGGTCAGAATTAGCTCAGAATTAGTAATTCATTTTTTGTTGGTTATAGTGCTAAAAATTTTTAAGGCTTCTTAGGCTAAGCTACTTTTCAAAAACCCAAAGATGTAACTTAAAGTTACAAAAAAGAGCACTTGGTCCTTTGCAAGAAGCTCTCCTTTAAATTGCCATCGTCAATTGAAAAAGAATAGATAAGCAATAATCCGAAACAATAATTTCCACCTTATGTGTAAAAGAAACATTTTCGAGCAGGTTTATAAGGTGGTCACTTCTAGGGTGGTCACTTTTAGGGGTGGTCACTTTAAAGGGTGGTCACTTTTATGGCTTATAAAAGAGGAGCTAAATCAAATCAATAACAAAACTTACCTTACACCCTTGTCAGCTCTAGGCAAAAAATACTCTTGCATATTATCATTTTTAGGCAAATAACTTGGTAAAAATGTTTTCAATGCATCATCACGTCTCGCTGTCATATGTAGACCTTCCTTTTTGGTATCCTCGTTTTCAAGCAAAGCATCGTCGTCTGAAATACCACTGCTTAGCAACGAGTCATCTGATGAAATGGATGCATCGTTTTCAATGAACAAGTCGTTGAAATAGAATTCTACGTTGTCTTCAGTTTTTGGTCTAAAAAGCAAGTAAAGTGCTTAGATGGGAATGTATGGTACTGCTTCAAGTTATCACCATAAAGCAGGAGTCAAAATAAACGGAATGGGTGGGTGCAGAGGGCAAATGGTTGATTGTATAATAATTTGTGTATGCAACTGCTAAATACAAGGAGGAACGAAGTAAAGAGGTTTATCCTTTAGAGAGAAATTTTACTCGCTTCTTATTTGGAACCGAGGAGTGAACAAGATACTTTTTAAGGGGGGTGACGGGTTAGCATAGAAAACGTCAATAGGTGTGGCTCTTTATAAATAAAGTCCATCATTGGAGGGCAAGAACCCCCTGCTTGTTTGTCATAATTCTCAAATCACACCTGAGAATAACAATTAGAATTTAATGAAGGAAAGTCGTACGTTAGAGAATGTGGCTCAAGGACCTTCAAGAAGGTTCGTGTTCCTCCTAACAAACCCAAAACAACATAGTTTGCTTCAAACCCTAAATAAGGTATCATGCATGCAAAATGAAATGGATAACAAGATGCTGTTATCTATTTCGTCACTGACTTACCCTAGATGTGCCGTCCTCACATGCCGCACAATACCGGGTAATGACATGAGCACCCGGCCACATCCACGCCACATGCATTTAAATGCTTTATTCCCCTTCTCCAATTTCTGCGTCTATTACGAAATAAGTAATTGTAACAGCTCCAAGTTGACATATTGAAATACTACAACGATTAAGCAACTTGGGTCATCTGGTGATCTAAATATAAATCTGCATCTTCTATCTAGCCATTCCACGACTTTTTTCTTTCATATACCGTAAATCCTCGAATTGCTCCCCCCTGGAAAAAGCCCCCTTCTCGAATAAGCCCCCACCCTAAAACTACAAATTGTCAATAAGCCCCCTCCCTCCCTCGAATAAGCCTCCACTGCTACCGTAAATTCTCAAATTGGACCCCTCCATTTGATGATTTTTGCCATCTGAGGTTGCCTATGGCGTTTTATTGAATTACCACAACAAATTCATACTTTAGTTCAATGCTCATAAGGTAATTAGTTGGTAGTAATTAATTCAATGCTCATAAAGAAATTGCTACCAAAATAAACGAGGTCTTTTAATAATGTTTTCTTAATGTTATAAGCCCCC